GACGTTGCATCCTGGTTACCATCCCTGACAAACTAAGAGTCGAGGTAAATAAGACATTCAGAAATCATACTCTTTTAAAAGTATTAATTGCAATCTGTCCTGCCACTGCTTAAATATAAAATGGCTTTAGGATAATTAACCAGCATTTCGCAGAGAATTACTTACCAGAGTCCCTTCCCATGATGTGTTTCTCATACCTTTTCCAAACCGAAACAAACTCTAATTTGGCTTTCACTTGTAAGTATAAATACTGTAAACATTGGGAACTCTTTCTACAGACTTTTTATCTCCTGTCCTGATACTGGCAACCTAGTTTCTCAGGTATGCTAATCCTGAGAGGAATTATTTGGTAAGCTTGTCTTATTAGTGTGCAAAACTTAAGTGTTGCTCCTTCTACTTTAACTTACGTCAAGCAAATAAGTTTAAGGAACAGCCTGGTAAGGTATTTGCTGAAAAGTCACAGGGTGGTTCTAGTTCCAGTTCAACTAACTGTGGTGTCTTAGGTGAATCATCCAGTGCCTTGGTGTTCTCATCTATATACCATCAGAATTGCTTCTGGCATTGTTGCCTGGCACACAGTCGGCATTCTATAAACACAAAAATTAGGTAGTTTCATAGACATTTTCCAACTTTTAATTATACATCTATACTTCTGTGAAAAGTAGTCAACCAAGAAAATGACATGCCAATTAACTAGATCTATTCCTATTCTTGCAGCAGTCTGAGATTAGAAGAAACCAGCACTGGAATATGCTACCAGAAGAAAGAGAGGTTGGGCGCAGTGGTTCAGCTTGTAATTCCAGCACTTTGGGAGGCCGAGGCGAGAGGATTGCCTGAGCCTATGGGTTTGAGACTAGCCTGGGCAACTTGGTGAAACCTCGTTTCTACAATAAACTGGGTGTTGTAGAACGTGCCTGTAGTTCCAGCTACTTGGAAGGCTGAGGTGGAAGGATCGCCCAAGCCCAGGAGGTCAAGGCTGCGGTGGCTGTGAGCATGCTACTGCACTCCAGCCTGGGCAACAGAATGAGACTCCAATTCAAAAAAAAAAAGAGAGAGAAAAAAAGGGTAATTAAAACACAGTAAGCACTTTTAGTTCAGATCATCAACAAATGAACTAAAAACCAGAAGAAAAAAAACAACTAACCAAAAATGACCTAAAAAGGGGGCACACCTCACCAACAAGGGTACCTGCATAATGAACATTTGCACACCCAACCCTGAATTGTACCCTACATTTTTAAAATAAAAAAAATTTTTAAATGGCCTAAATGAACCAATGTAGAAAAAAATGATATTTTATATGATCACTTCTTATTTAGAACTGTTGACTTTTTGAAGAATATCAATAAACTCAGCTTCTCAAAAGAGCTTTTTTATATTAAACCAGGCATCTCTTGAGGAGAAGTAGCTTCCTTTGAGGGTCTCAAACTTAGATTGTAACTCTATTAAGTACAGAGTAAGTGTACAGTATTAAATCAAAAGTGGAAGGGAATAGGATTGTGGGGACAGTTATTTCTGAAGATCAATCAAAAAAGAATTCAACATGTCTGACGCAAGGTAACTTTTGGAGTCCTCTATGTTAAACATTCTTATGAAAGAAAATTGTCTTCATTTTTTATATTTGTCTTAATTTTATTATTTCCAGCCCACCCCTACAGGCTATGCAAATAATTCTTTTCTTTCTTGGGAATTTAAACTTTTTAAGGATACAAATTTTTAAAATGGAGAAAATAAGGCATATTAGAAATGAGAACTCTTCTTTCACTGTAAAGTAAGAAATGAGAAGAAAAGCTTAGTGTGAAATTCTGGAGACTAAAATTAAAATGTAAACAGAGAATGCTCAGTGACATTTTTTTAGGAGGCTCACATGAAGGAATGTCATGGTACATTGACCAAACTTCATTTGCATTTTCATTTGCATTTTCAGGATGTTGCTATTAATACCACATGACACTCAACAAATTACACTACGATATGACATTTTGTACAAATAACTTCACCTCCAGTTTCCTCTTCAGCTGTTACTTCAGCATCTGATTACTTACAGAAAAAAATGTATTTAGGCTTTATTTTTTTTTTAAGGCAGATTCAAAATATTTGTTGATGTAAAGATACTGGATCCCAAACTGTTTTCTGAGGAAACAGCTACCTAAGGTGTCTATTCAATTAAAAAAAAAAAGTTTTATGGTCTAAAAAGTCGGGCAAATGCTAGGTTAAACAAAGTTAAACATGATTCTTTTCAGCAGGACTTCTGAGAACCTTTAATTAGCTAACCATGCATTGTGATTCTGCAAAAGGGGAACAATAATTCATCGTGTTTCTTAAATTTATTTGACCATAGAACATGTTTCTCAGAGTATTTTTCAAGATTAGTGTTTTCTATAATATATGTTGAGAAATAATGGGGTCAACCATGTTTGTATGTAAGTGCAAAATTTAAACAGCCCCTGAAACAAGTATAATTCAAAAAGTAGAGAGGTAAGTGAATAAAGCTGGCATGCTGTCAGTCAGCAGCACCATGCTGCATTCTGAGTCAAACTCCAGAAGTAGGGATTGTCCCTAAGAAGAAAACTGGAGTGTCCAAAATTTCTGGGTCCTATTTAATTAAAATACCTTTCAAATCTTGTAACTAAAGAGTACCAATGGATGAAGAAAAAAAGCCTCACATGTCTTCATTTCTACTCATAGTTCGGTGTAGCTCCAGTTCTGTTATTCTCAAACATCCATTACCATGATTGCTTAATAATTACAAAGGATAACCGCCAAGCATTTTTCATAGGAAGCTCTTGTGGCTTGTGCAAAAGGGCCAATTTTTAAAAAAAATCTTTATCTAAACTAGAAAAACATTTCTAAAAATACCATCTGAGCGACTGCAAGATGAAAGCACATTCGAAGTATAAACCTAAATAAATGCAACAATATAGATGATTTAGGGATGGGAGAGTACAGAATTCTGAAATGACAGACGTCATCACCTACACATTTCTTTTTTTTTTTTTTTTGAGTTGGAGTCTCACTCTGTCGCCCAGACTGGAGTGCCGTGGCCGCTCCCGGCCACCGCAGCCTCAACCTGCAGGGCTCCGGCGATCCTTCCGCCTCAGCCTTCCGAGTAGCTGGAATTACAGGGGCGCGCTACCACGCCCGCTAATTTTTCTCACCTACACATTTCAAAAGCATGATAGGACCCATGTCTTCCCTCTGGTTATGTTGCTCTGCCAGAATTTTAATTTCAGCAAAGACCATCCTCAAAGTAATGATGTACTGATTCAAAGGTCTCCAATCAGCAGACATGATTTTGGATAGATCCTCAAAGGTCAACTGCCACCAGATGTCTAGTTCTTGATTATCCTCCATGCTCCCTGGATAGAAGCACAGCTAAGTGCTCAAGTCAAAGGATTAGTTGGCAATATCCCACATTGTCAAAAAGCTTTGAAGAAAAACAGAGAGAAAACTTGTATTTGCTGAGCATTTAGGTGATAGACATTTTCATAAACATTACCCCATAAAAGTAACGCAAACGAACCCATCTAAACAGATCTTTTCCCTGCTTTATAGATTAAGAAAACTGGATCTTAGAGAGGCTATAAAATTGGTCTAAGGTCAAATCAAATGCTGATAAGCAAATTAGGTAAAATTTGAGCCAGGTCTGGGTGAATCCAAAGTCTGTTTTACAATATTACACTATCTCCTAATCATTAAAAAAATTTTTTTTTTTTATAGAAGCACAAATGGTCCATTTATGCAGCTTTTCTCAGTATCTAGCAAAACAGTTCAACTTTATCATTACACCAACTTCAGAAATCCTGATAATGTTAAGATCTTCTTATTCATCTGCCTATCTGCCTAAATAAATGGAACTATTTATTTGCAATTGCTGGTAATGAGCTTTCTTAATTCAGCATTTTGCAGGAAAAAAAAAAAACCTGAATACTTGAGTTGCTTCATTTCATGTTCACTCTCTTGGCATGCATCTTTTTGGTTTTCTTTTAAAAATAGATTCTAAAATCATGACATATTCAGATATGAAAAGCAGGATAAAGAACAATGAGAACACTAATCTGAAAGTCACATGGCCGGAGAACCTGTTTCTGTAGTAATTCCAAGTTAAATAGAAAACTCTTGAATTTATGAAGCAATCACTCGTGTGCTTGGCTGAAAAAACAAACAAGACACTGAGCTGAAATTGTAGACTTGGATTCTGCCCCACTCTCTTACAGCTGCCACCCTGGTTAAGTGTCTCTGACTCTGTTTCCTTACTATTTAAAGTTGGATCTCTCAAATTCCTTTTAAAATTCCATGATTCTTTAGTCAACTGAAATTCACTGGATTTTTAAACAAATAGTTTCAAAGAATTTAAATCTCACTGCCTTCACCTTTTTTAAAATTCTTCTGACAAAGGCAAAGGACTTACCCATATTCCACTTGATTTGCTTTTTAGTGTGACAGAAAAATCAAGCAGCAAAGAAAAAAGTACGGTCACCCAGCTAGACAAGAGTGATGTACTATGCTTGGAAAACAGTTTACTTAAGAAGAAAGCAGCTTAACAGTTTGCTTATTTTGGTTGCAGGTATCATACTTCATATCCTCTAAAGGGTAGAGAGAAAAATCAATCTTTTCCAGGAAAGATGGTAATACAGTAAAGCTTCTTTCCCTTGCTTAACCTGATACCATATATTTACAAATGAAAATAATTCTGTGAGTGCTATTCCCCATACAGATGCCCACAGCACCTGTTTTGAAATCTTTTATCAGAGAAATTATGTAACAGACTATCTGGCTTGATCCTTATTCTGATACTAAACAGACCTGAGTTTCCTAGTATCGCCTCCTTGGCATTTTCACTCTCCTCATCATCCCATCACTTTCATCTCCCCCTCCTCACTCAAAACTGACTCGAGTGTTCTGAGGCACTAGGACACATTGTCAGATCAGAGACTGAACCACATCCACCACAGCCTGGTGGAGCCGAGCAAATACTAGTCACTTGAAAATATAATTGATTTGACTTACGAGGTTTAATTTCCTTATGAATCAATCATTCCTTCAAAAGGACTGCAATGGTAGTACAGTTGTTAGTTCCTCAAAGATTCCTTGGACATGGTCAAGCCTATGGTAGATGCACTAGAGGGGACACCCTAGAAATGTTCCCCCTTAGCCACTCTAGCAGATGATCAAAATGGGAAAGAGAGAACTAGTGGGCAATTTGTCTCTCCTCCCATACACATATCCATCTCTTTCTTCCAGCTCCGGGCACCATGCCCAGGGACCTTATAAGCAAAGGTCCCTTGTCAGAAAACATCAGTCACACTCACTGTTAATTCTACCATTATAGTCTCATTCATGTGAGGACAGCACAGAAATCTCAGTACAGCGCTTCTCAAACTACAAAGTGTGTATGAATCACCTGGAGATTTTGTTGAAATGCAGATTTAGATTTAATAGGTCTGGGGTGAAGCCCAAACTTCTGAATTTCTAACATAACAAACTTCAACTGGATGTTGATGCTGCTGGTTCGTCAACCACACTTGAGTAGCAAGGTCCTAGGTACCTTTGCCACCCTGTATTTGGAGGGCATTTTACTTCAGAGTCTCCTTGTGGCTGGTTATCTACCAAGAAAATTAAACAGGGCAGAAAACTCAGAACCTCTGTAGTGGGCGAATTCTATTGTGCAAACAGAAGTTTGCTCGCTCTCACTGACCAGACTCTGGATCCTGCTTCCTGTCCAGACTGATTTGCTGGATTCTTCCTATTTAGCTGAATGACGAATCCTGGCTCAGTCTCCTAGCCTTGTATGATGCCACGCTATCAGCAACCCAAACATTAGTGGTGTGGAGAACCTGTTAAAATGCAGATTCATTAGGTCTGAGGTGGGCCCCAAGAACAAACATCTTAGGTGATTCTAATGAGATTAAGAAGGAAATGCATGCAACCTCTTTGATAGACTGAAGAAAGCCATATCTTATGGCTGTTAAGGTCTTTACATAGAGGAACATAGCAAAGAAAGATTAAAAAAAAGGAAACAGTTTGGTTTTTTTTTGAGCTTTTGACAGTATGATAGAAGAAACAATTTCCTCTCTAATTTGGTCACCTGCTTAAGGGCATTCACAATTAATTCCAGTGTATTTGGTCCTTTTCTTTAGAGATGTTCACTAAAAATGTGAAGTATGTCTTGTGTATTCCACAGAAAATTATTTTAATGTAGGTATGATTATAGATACATTCACTCAGTGATCAAGCTATAAAAGGAATGGTTATTGGTCTTCTCACTGAACAAATAAAACTGGAGTTGTTCATACATAAATAATTTCAAAAAGTATATCCAAAACACTGACATCAGTTAACAAAAATAAGAACTGGATGTTAATTCGTGCCATTAAAATGGCAGAGACAAATGTAAAATACAACAACTAATTTTACTTAGACTTCTTGAGTGACATGTCCCCTCTTAGAAGGGCTACAGTTTGGCTACTTAGTCTCTGTTGGGACTGAGGTGGCATCTTCAGGGGTGTTAGCCTCTGCTGGTGCAGTTACAGCTCCTGCCACAATAGTGGTGATTTCAGATAGAGCAGGGATGGCTTCCAGATTGGAACTGGCTTGGCCCTCATTGGGTGTGGCCTCAGTCTGACTAGGGGTGGTATCAGTGTGAAAAGCTGGGGTTTCTTGATTGCAGCTGGCATCTGTTGGACTAGGTATGATGTCAGCTTGAGCTGGCATGGCCTCTTCTTCTGTTTCCAATTCTGTTTCTTGATTTTGAACTTCCTCACCTTCTTCCACCATAGCAGGTGGCAGTTGTAATAAAGTCTAATTAAAAAAAAGACAATATCAATAAGAACTCAAATGAAAAACACTGTGGTTTATAAAGCTAAGCTCTTACATTAACATCTTCCTAGAGTTCTCCAAAACACTCCTGGTCCTTTTATGTTACAGATGTAATACCTCTGAAGACAATGGACTAGAATGTAATACCTCTGAAGACAATGGACTAGATTCTGTTATAATGCCTACAAAGATGTCACATATTAATGACCAAAGTATTTATTAAATCTTCCGAGAGGAAAACAACATGAAAAACTATTAGATTTTGAAGCCAAATAATTCACTGTAGCATGTCTGCAAAGAAACAGTGGCTGATTAGGACTAATTACAACACAAACACTTGAAAAGGCCAACTTAATCAAGGAGCCCTGTGAGAAAGCAGTCAAGCCTTGAGACGACGGGAGGAAGCAGTAGCAGGGTACAAGGCTTCTGTCCCATTCAACCAGAAAGCTGAAGCAGGTCTACCTGCTTAGCCCCCACTTTGCTCCACAGAAGTCAAGTGGCTTGGCTTTTCTCCTCTGTTTACTTTGATGGAAATTGAAAAAAAATTTCACAGTACCATTCACAACAGCAGAAAAAAAGACTTAGCAAAAAAGCTAATTCTGTGTAATCTTACACAAAATATGTGTAAGATTTATATGCTGAAAATTATAAAATGCTGATGAGGTAATAAAAAGGAGATCTAAATAAATGGAGAGATATAGCTTATTCATGAAAGGGAAGACTCAATATTGTGAAGATGTCAATCTCCCCAAGGAGATCCTGAACAATCCCATCTCATCAATAAGGGCACCTGCACAATGAACATTTGCATACCTAACCTTGAATTGTACCCCACAATTTCAAAATAAAAATTAAAAGAGAGAAAAAAAAAAGATGTCACTCACGCACACACACACAAATAATAATAAATGCAACAGGCCAGGCATGGCAGCTCAAGCCTGTAATTCTAGCACTTTGGGAGACTGAGGCAAGAGGACTGTCTGAGTTCAGGGGTTCGAGATCAGCCTGGGCAACTTGGCGAGAACACATCCCTATAATAAATAAAAAAACAGCCAGACCGTGGTAAGTGGACACCTGTAGTTTCAGCTACTTGGAAGGATCACCTGAGCCCAGCAGGTCGAGGCTGTGGTGGCTGTGAGCATGCCACTACATTCTAGCTTGGGCAACCGAGTGAGATTCCAGTTCAGGAAAAAAAAAAAAAAATTGCAGCATGCTTTTTGGAGGACAGATATTGACCAGTTGATTCTAAAATGTACACAGAAAAGAAAAGGAACAGAATAGCTAATTTTGATTTTTAAAAAAAAGCTGCCGGGCTCGGTGGCTCAGCCTGTAATCCCGTGCTTTGGGAGGCTGAGGTGAATGGATTGCCTGATCCCACGGGTTCGAGACCTGCCTGGGCAACTTGGTGAGACCTCATCTCTACAATAAATAAAAAATTAGCCAGGCATGGTGGTGCATGCCTGTAGTTCCAGCTACTTGGAAGGCTGAGGCGGAAGGATCACTGGAGCCCAGCAGGTTGAGGCTGCAGTGGAGCGGCCACTGCACTCGAGTCTGGGTGACAGAGTGAGACTCCAACTCAAAAAAAAAAAAAAAAGGCTAAAAGCTAAAAGACTGATGTTATCTAATTTCAAAATTTACTATAAAGCTACTGTAATCAAGGTAGTGTGGTCAGGACAAAGGGACAAATACATAGAACAATGGAAAGAATAGAGAGCCCAGAAATAGACTCTCACATATATGGTCAATTCATTTTTTTACTAAGATGACAATTCAACAGAGGAAAAAAATGGTCTATTTGGGAAATGGTGCTGAAGCAACTCGATATCCAAATGCAAATGAATAAAATTCAACCCTATCTTGTGCCATATAAATATATTAACTCAAAATGTATCACACTTCTAAATATCAAACCTAAAATTATATGACTTCTAGAAAAAAAATCTTTGTAACTCTGAGTTAGGCTAAGTATTTTTAGGACATAAAAAGCATAAATCATAAAAAGAACAATTTGATACATTGAACTTCATCAAAATGTAAAACTTTTGCTCTTTGAAAGACAAAAAAAAAAATCAGAGACTATAATATGATAAAGGGCTTGCAGTCAGAATAAATAAAAACCACTCAAAACTCAATGAAACATACAACCTAATAAGAAAACAAGCAAGGGACTTGAGCAAACACATCTCAAAGAAAATGTACAGATGACAACCACATGAAAATAAGTTCAACATCGTTAGTCATTGGGGAAATAAAAATTAAACCACATGGAGATTACTGTATACCCATCCAGACTACCAAAACAAAAACAAAAACCCCCAAAACCACTTACCATATCAAGTGTGATTAAGGATGTGTTGCAACTATATCTATCATACTGCTGGTGAGAGTGTGAAATGAGTGATTACAACCACTCGGATGGCAGTTTCTTAAAAAGTTAAATACATCCTTAACATATGATCCAGCTATTCCACTTCTAGGTGTTTACCCAAGCACAAAGTCTTGTATAAGTAATAGGAGCCAGAGAAAAAAAAGTACATACTGTATGAGCCCATTCATATAAATGACTAGAAAATGGAGACCAACTAATAATGACAGAAAGCAGATCCTTAGTTGCCTGGGGAAGGCAGAAAGGGGGCTGGTGAAGGATAAGGAGAGATTACAAAGGGGCATAAGGAAAACTCTTAAGAGATAGTGAACATATTCATTATCTTGATTGTGGTGATAGCTTCACAGGTATATACTTCTGTCAGAAAATGCAGAGGTCCAGCCTCCCTAGAGCAGGGCCTGAGGTGGGGGGAGGAAATGAGAAAAGAAAGACAAAGAACAGCGGGATTGGGAGGTCTCTGGCCTCAATAGGTGAGAGCAAGTTTATTCTTACAGTATGTTTTCTTGTATAGAGCAAAACTACATAAACAAGAAATATTTTAATGCTAGCATCAGCTGGGAAAACATTAATGTTCAGGACTTTCCCCGGCAAGTTTACTATAGTGCTGACATCTTTGTTTTCTGAGAGTCTAAGTAAAACTATTAACATCTGTGTTCTTTGAAGTTCTGAGTAAAGTTATTATCGAAGCAGGCTACATCCAGTCTATGCAGACTAGAGGTCACACCACCTGAATTCTACTAAATCAACATTCCCAGGGGCAAACATTGAGGGAAGGAGATACTGGCCAAGCTCCTGTTGGAGCCAGGCCAGGAACACAAGGACCTTGTCAAGTTTGTGTTTTTTTTAAGACATAAGGACCTTGTCAACTTATGTCTTTTGTCTCCTTCAAGAAAACATCGAATTGTATACCTGAAATATGTGGACTTTATTTTATGTCAAATTCCATCTAAATAAAGATGATTTAAAAGTATGAATGTTTTATATCTATAATAACAGCATACTTTAGTTGGTTTCCCATAAGGAATCAGAAACTTTAAGGATTTATTCTGCAAAAGAGAAAGTCTTTCTACAGCAAGAAAAATTAACAGCCAATATTGAGAAACTCACCTGATGATAATGATGTGTAGTCTGTATTAAATGCATGTACATGTTGTATACAAAGTTTGCCATCTGGGGCATGTTCTTTATTATCTGTACTTCATGAGATGGTCTCTCTCCATTCTAGAAGAAGGCAAAAAGAAAGTTAAGTATCTATTGAGAAAAACCTTAGAACATTTCAACTTAAACTAATTTCTTGATCTTATGAATAAGCGCTGTTAGGGTTTGGAGGATGTAAGAATAGCAAGAGTAAGAGAACTAAAAGGACATAAAATGTAACTGTGAAATGTGTAATAAAGACTTCATGAAACAATAAAGATTTCATGAAGGTCAGGTGTGGTGACTCATGCCTGTAATCTCAACACTTTGGGAGGCCCAAGTGGAAGGATCTCTTGAGGCCAAGAGTTTAAGACTATTCTGAGCAACATAGTGAGATCTCATCTCTATAAAATAAAAAATAAAAAAATTTGCCAGGTGTGGTGGTGTGCACCTGCAGTTGTAGCTTCTTGGGAGGCTAAGGCAGAAGGATTGTTTGAGCCTAGGAGTTTGAGGCTGTAATAAGCTATGATTGCACACTGCACTCCAATCTGGACAACAGAGAAAGACCCTATTGCTCCAAAAAAGACTTCATAAAGAATAGTGATTCTGCCAGGCATGGTGGCTTATGCCTATAATCCCAGCACTTTGGGAGGCCGAGGTGAGAGGATTGCCTGAACCCACAGGTTCGAGACCAGCCTGGGCAACTTGGAGAGACTTCATCTCTACAGTAAATCAAAAAATTCGCTGGGCATGGTGGTGTGTACCTGTAATTCTAGCTACTTGGAAGCCTGAGGCAAAAGAATCACCTGAGCCCAGCTGGTCAAGATTGCAGTGGCTTTGAGTGTGTCCCTGCACTCCAGCCTGGGTGACAGAGTGAGACACCGACAAAAAAAACAAAACAAAGAATAGTGATTCCACTGAAATTTAGACAAGCTAGAGACTAGAAGAGCTAAGAATAATCAACTTTTAATAAATTCTGGGCTGATAAGTAAAGTATGGGTCTTCATCTATTAAGTATTAATATAGTAGAAAAATTAATATAAGTAACCATTTAACTAAAGAAAAAATCATCATGCTCTAAAGTAGTGGTTTCTGTGTATGCTCCAAAGACAATTCACAAGATAATTCAGAAAAAAATATTAACACTTTTCTTCCTATTTATGCTTTTCTAAAAAATAAGAAGCTATCATTTTTATTATTTAATATATAGACTATTAGTCATGGGAGTGAATATTCAAACATTCATTTAAAAATTGTAGTGTCAGCATCATCCGGGGTAGGTTGTTAAATTGCAGATGCCTGGGCTCTAGTCCTCAGAGATTTATATTCAGTGGGCCTGGGTAGAATGCAGTGATTCTTATGGTATACTTTCTGACAACAATCTGAGGAACGCTGCTCTATTAGTGTAGGTAAAGCAGTAAAACAAATGAAGAAAACCCAAACTTTGCACTTCTTCTTAAACCATCCTAGAATAGAGATTAGAAATTTTCCTATATACAGTTATTAATAAAATGTTTATAAATCTCGTCCTTTCCTACTATAGAAACAATTTAGAAAACTATAAAAGTAAAAAAAAAAAAAAGCCAATAAAAAAGATTCTACCCTTAAAGTGACAAATATTTTATAGCACATAAAGTTAGAAATATCAATACATTAAACAGCCTTTTTCAGAATTAAGCAGGATGGTAGTACCACATGCAAACAGGTATTCTTTTGATTAATGGTCACTTTTGGCAGTAGCTACATCCGTGTGCAAAGCTGCCCCGCTATTATGACTAGAACATGCTGCCTTCAAAACACATAGAGTTTCTGTTTGCCTTTCCTGAGATGCAGCCCTCTCATCCCTTCACAATGTCTCTGGAGCAGAATATGGGGAGATGCTCAAGAAGCTTGAACCCATGGGTGATGCCCAACGCCCTGGTTTCCAAGCCTTCTGTTCGGCGGTACTGCTTGATCTGTACTCTGGGTTTCTCCAGGTATGTCCCTCCAGCCCTTGCAGAGGAAGTACCTGGGGAGCTTCTTAAACACAGAGGCACCTAGCTCTGCCCCCGACTTCTTTTTAGTCATCTCCCTGGTTAACAATCAACTCACAAAAGACTGAGAAGCTCAGAGATACAGGATTGTGTCCAGACTCTGCAGACTGCCACTCAAGGCTTTAAGTGACCCCACCTCATGATCTCTTTGCACCCTTTTCCTCCACAGCAGCATTTCTTTAAAAAGAAATTAAAATGCAGTCTTTAAAAAGTACTTATTATAAAACAGACACACAGAACTTAATCTAGTTCCTTTTTTTAGAGGAGTGGAGGTAAGAAGCATACTGTGAACATTTAAAGCAATTTTATTTAAAATCCAATGAACCCCTGGGACATTTCATTAAATGAAAAATGCAAAGAACAAAAGTCTATACTATGATAACTTTCATGTAGGAAAAAAATATATATAAGAAAATAAGCAAGCATCTGCTCCTTTATACTAAAGGAATGTAAGGATAAACCAGAAACTAAAGAGACTCATTACCTATGGAGGGAGGGTGCTGAGAAAGGAGAACAAGAGGGGGGACAGGAAGTGTCACTTCTGTGACTATCTTTTTATTAAGTATCTGTGCTCTCCACTCCCCCATTTCCTCAGAATGCAAGTTTCTTGGAACTCAACTATTCATTGCTCTATTATCAAGTAAATAGTTAAAAGTTCTCCTTACAAAGCTGTAGAGAGTCTCTATTATAAATAATAGAGACTCTCTAGAGTTAGACTGCCAGGGTTTTCAAATCTTGGATCCTCTACCTACTCTACTTAATGTGCAGCAAACGATTTAACTTCTCTGAAACTTCCTATTTGTGAAATGGGCACTAGCAGTGGCTAATACCTACAGTCGTAGCTGCTGAGGTGGGAGGACTGTTAAAGTCATAAGTTTGGGACCAAACTGGGCAACACAGCCAGATTTTGTTGCTCTGAAAAATGAAAAATTAGTCAGGTGTGGTGCCATGCGCCGGTAGTCCCTGTTACTTAGGAGGCTGAGGTGGGAAGATTGCTTGGGCCCAGAGTTTGAGGCTGCAATGAGATATGATCATATCACTGCACTCCAGTCAGTGACACAGTGAGTCCCTGTCTCTAAAAAAATAAAATAAAGTAAAATAAACCAATAGAATGAATTACTGATATGATATTATTCCTAGCTAATGCAGTCACCTATAAGAAAATCCCAATTTGGGCAATGAGTTTCTATACAATAAAGAAAAATGTCCTACCTTTCTTGTGGTTGGGAACGGTTCTGTTGGAATTATATGCAAATGAAGGGGGCGGGCCGTGAGCTGACTGAAAGCTGGAGTTAGTTCAAAACAGTTTTGGAAGAGGGATACTCTGGCGAAGATATAAAGTCCGAGTCTGGCTCTAGACATGGCCACCACTAAGCGACGGACATCCCTTTGGGAAACAAACAAAATAATTAGTACATTTCAAGATTAATAACATACTTATACAGCTTTTTCCCTGTTTTACATATTCCACTAAATAATCCTGCTAAGCCATGGCAATAAAAATGTAAGCTTCTTAAAAACTTAATAAACATAAAGCTAATCAATGTTATGTGACTAGTAAATCAAAAAGTTAATGCTTTATTACTAACCTCTTGTTTTTTCTGGCAGGAAGATCACAAAATAACCACTGCACTGATTGAAAAGGTTTAAGTAACTATTAGTATTACAGTACTCTTGTCAGTCATCAATTTACTGTACTACCACCAATGAATCAATTTGAACTCTTCCCCTTCTATTTTGTCTACTCAACTCCCAGGCACCATCAAGGCCAAATTTTACTTCCTAAATAACTGCTACCATATTGTTTTATACTTACTTATAATAATAGGTATTTATGGAAATACAGTATGATGCTGTAACAGCACAAGTTGATTATCTCTAATCTGAAAATCAAAAACCTAAAATGCTCAGAAATCTAAAACATTTTGGGCCCCAACACTATGCCATAAGTGGAAAATTCAACACCTTATATGAAGAATCACAGTCAAAATAAAGGCATACAATACAATTTATTTACTGCTTTCAAGGGCAAAATAAAATTACCATCAGACTATGTATATAAGGTATATGTGAAACAAATTAATTTCATGTTTATTTAGACTTAGGTCTCATTCTCAAAATATCTTATTTATGTATATGCAAATATTCCAAAATCTGAAAAAAATCTGAAATCCAAAGCATTTCTGATTCCATGCATTTCAATAAGGGATATTCTACCTGTAATACTACGTCTTATTTATGTATTCACTCTGGTATTTTGGTTCAATGTCTGGCCTAAAGTAAGTACTCAGTGTTCACATAAACAGTAACAAAAATAGTTAAATTGAATGATCAGGCATGTAGCTGGCTATCTGATGAATGATGCTAGTTTTCTTTAATCTAGCTCTTAAAATTTTTTTTTAATGGGCTGAACAAAATAAAGTGATAAAAGAGGGCTATCTATGAAGTATAATTTTACCTCACTAGAGGTTAAATTAGAATATATTTTGGTGAGGAAAGATCATTTTGGTTTCAAATACGGAGGGCAAATATGTTTTCTTGAGATTCTTCTAGATGGCTATTTAAATTTTGAGTACTCAACAAAAGAGAAGACTTTCATGAAGAATAATAAAGTCTGGTACAATCACCCCCAATCCCTGAAAGAAAGTGTTAAAGGGCATTACAGAGATTTAACGTTATAGAGGTCATATAATAACCAGAAAGGGAAGCAGGAATTAGAATGCTTATCCAATACCTTTTCTTTGTGTAATGTAAGATATTTTGGGAATATCTCTAACTCAGCATCATTTTCTATTGTGTTTTATGGTCTTTAAAAGAATCTAGGTTCCCTCAGCAGGAGGTACTGTGTGATATCACATATAACATCAGTAATGATCTTGTGCTATGTGTATGTGTGGGGGAGGGGGGAAATAGGTACCCATCCCCCAACAACACATAAAATTAAAAGATGTTCATATAGGTAGAAGGAAGAAAGCATACTGTTTTTTAAGCGTGCTGAGGAATCTATATTTGTGACACACTGGATTCATAAAGGAAATATTATCTTCTAGGTTAGGAATCATGCTATATAGATGGTTGGTTCCAACACTGGTAACTGAATTTAGAGTGCTAGAAATATTTACCATGAGTTCTCACACAAATATTATACAATAAATTATGGCTAAAACTTAATGTAGTCAGGGTAAAAAAGGGTTGGCGGTAAAAGGAGGTGACAAACTGTTGTTTTTGTGGTAATCACTGTATTATGTTCAGTTCTCCCTCTCACATCCAGAGTTTCTATCTCTAGACAGAGCACAGACACAGTGCTATTGAGTGACCACTGTATCATTCCTTCTGAGAAAAATTTTCCCTTCAGCCTTCCATGATGTACTGCAGTAAAGTGGCTTTCATAAGTGTGACCTCCATCGTACATGAGAAGTTTTAAACCAAAATCATCTGTAGCATCAAATGTAGGGTATCTTCTAAGCATATCTCTAGCTCCTTGAGGGCAAGATCATGAATGTTAGATTTACTGCTATATATTAAGAACCTAGCACATTGCCAAATAGATGGATCTGAGAATATTTGTTAAACAAATGACCCAACACTATGAGCATTGCAAGTGAGTTGTATGGTATGTGAATTGTATCTTAATAAAGCTGTTATTTAAAACATGAACTATAGCCAAAAGTGAGGTTCCTTTGTCTCTTGAAACAAATATTTCCTTGCTATAAAGGGAAGAATATGAAACATCAGCTTTCTACAAATCAAAAAGTTCTACAGAGTCTGATAAAAAGTCTAGTTAAGATACTTAGGCTAAGCTACCTGGGTAATTGGAATAATAAATAACAGCTAAATTGGCGTGTTCCCTCTGTGCACTAATACCACCACCACAGTCACTAACATTCCTGATGAAGAAGGTGGACTTTTTTTTTTTATTTGAGACAGGGTTTCACTCTGTTGCTCAGGCTAGAGTGCAGTGGCAGGATCATGGCTCACCACAGCCTCAAATTCCAGGGCTCAAGTGATCCTCCCACCTCAACCTCCCGAGTAACTGAGACAACACATGCACGCCACCATACTTGGCTAATTTTTCTATTATTATAGTTACTATTCATAGTCCAGGCTAGTCTCAAACTCCTGGTTTAAACAATTCTCCTGCCTCAGCCTCCTAAATGTTGGGATTACAGATGATAGCCACCATGCCTGGCTTAGAAGGTGGATTTTCAAAAGGCGATTCTGGCAAATAGGAATAGGTTTAATTTAGTTGGATAACGTTATTTTTGCTTAGGAAATTTTGATACGTAAGACAATACTGAAATCAGGGTTTTTTGTGACTCTAATTTGTAAGCATTTTATCAACAGAACACTTTTTAAAAAGTTTCCAGAAAAATTAGGCAAAGAATAACATAGAACTAAAGTCACTGGAATTTGAAGAAGACAAGGTACTGAAGTAAGAAAAAAGGAAGGGGGAGGAAGCAGTATACATACATTTATAATGAAAGTTTTTGAGATTTTTAATTATGTAACCATAATTATGGCCCATTCAGACAAGTTATAAATCTCAATGAGAAAAAGGAAGTATTTTTTAGAAAAGCTGTCTCTAAGTATTGGCTTAACACTTAAGTAAATAAACAAAAAATAACCTACTCTTAGAATGTTATACCCTTTTCAAAAATTTAAGTCGAGGTCTCACTCTGTCACCCAGGTTGGAATGCAGTGGCAAGATCACAGCTCACTGCAGCCTCAACCTACTGAGCTCAGGGCAATCCTCCCACCTCAGCCTCCTAAGTAGCTGGGACTATAGGCATGTGCCACCACGCCTGGCTAATTTTTTAATTTTTTTGTAGAGACAAAGTCTTGCTATGTTGCCCAGGCTGGTCTTGAACTCCTGGGTCCAACAATCCTTCTACCTCAGCCTCCTAAAGTGCTGAGATTATAGTGTGAGCTACCATGCTTGGCCTTAGGATGCTATCATCTTGAAACAATTTCTTAAGACATTACATCTTTGCTGACACTTACATAAAAGTTATCAATCTAATAAAATTTGATCACTGGGTTAATCTCTAAATAGATCTTGACTTGACAACACTATGAGCTTGGAGAATTTTCTTTTGATATATGCCCAGTAAAATAATAAACTCTCCTTATAGTTTTGCTAGTAAGTCATATGAGATGAAGGTTTATATAAAACTAAACGGCTGCTTTGTAAAAAGAAGATATCATTCCCATAAATCTCTAGCACATAAATACATCATAATAAATGATAAAAATAGATTATTTTTTGTTTTGACAATTCTTAATCCAGGGAGAACAAATGGCTTCTTTATCCTCTAACACGGAAGCTGAAAGATTGTGTGTTGGGGGGGGAAATCCAAAACCTCATTCTACAAAAATTTATTCTGTAGAGTATTTTTCTCCCCACTTTACCTCCTTTAATTTCTGTTGTTTCTAACAGATATAGATATATTTAATAGGACTTTATCATAAAATGCTATCTCTGAATATTACTGAAGAGTAAAAATTTTTTAATTGCTAAAGCATTTCAGAGTAAAAAAATCCTGTAGCAATGGCAATGGTTTACTATAGAAGAAATCTAATAATGTTCATCAAAAAGCACCAAAAATTGCTGTAATAATTAATTATAATTTAAACTTTGCCACAGACGTTCAAAGCTGAAGTACACAGCAAAGTTCAATAATATGAAAATTTCTTCCTACGTACCTCAGATGGCCCACTGCCCTGGTTCGTACTAGAGAAAGAAGAATATAATCGTTCTGTTGACCTTGAAATCTATCAACAGTTGTTACCTAAAAATAAAAAATGGGAAATATGGTATCTTTTTAAAAGCATGATAGACTCTAAAGATCACTTAAATAAAGTTTGCTAAAAACAATCATCGTAACTTTAAAATTGCCAATCTCAAAAGAAACATAATCATAAGCCTGGAATTCCAAGAACAAATTAGTGAGCAAAATTAAATAAACCACACTAACCAGATTAAGCTATATCCTTGTGTTATTCAAACTTATAGCACGTGCCTTTACCTCTGCTGATAACCAAATAGTTATTTTTGGAACTAATAGTCTTCCTCCAACAGACTGCAAAACTCCATAAAAGCAGGGACTATGTCTAGCTTGTTAACTAATATCTCAGCTTGATGCCCAGCGATGTAACTTAGTATGCTTATTATTTAACATGTCACCAGTACTTATCTACAGTATTCTTCCATCACAGAAAAAAAAATCCTCATAATATCTTCTATTCAGTTTGAAAATATAAGTACAAATAGGGAAACTCAGAAAGGTTTCAGGCACTAATACTGACACTCAGGCAATTATCCTTTTTTCATCATCAATTCAAAAAAAGTTTACTGCTCATCTTGCACAATCCATAATTTACAGTCCCTCTGCCTTTAAAAAGTATACAAAATGCTTCTTAAGTCAGCTTTACAGAGATATAATTTATATACAATAAAATACAAATTTTAACTGTACAATTTGATGAATTTTGACAATGTATATTATCATGTAACCACCACCACAATAACAATTTCCATCACCTCAGGCCCCATTTTGGTCAAATCTGGTATCCTCCAGCCCCAGGCAACCACTGATCTACTTTCTGCTACTAGATGTCTTTTTTCTTTTTGCCAGGTTAAGAACTCCACAAAAATGGAATCAAAGTATATACTCTTTTGTGTCTGGTTTCTTTCACCCAGCATATTTCTGAGATTTATCCAAGTGTTGTGTACACTAGAAATCCTTTTTTTTGAGTCAGAGCCTCACTCTGTTGCCCAGAGTGAGTGCAGTGGCATGCTCACGGTCACCGCAGCCTTGACTTGCTGGGCTCAGGTGATTCTTCCACCTCAGCCTTCCAAGTAGCTGGAACTACAGGGACATGCCACCATGCCCAGCTAAGTTATTGATTCACTGTAGAGACAAGGTTCTATAAGGTTTCACCAAGTTGTCCAGGCTGGTCTTGAACCCCTGGACTCAGGCAATCCTCTCACCTCGGCCTCCCAAAGTGCTGGGATTACAGGCTTAAGCCACTGAACCAGGCCTAGAAATCCTTAATTTTTTACATTGAGTAGTCTTCCACCAATTGAATATATCACAATTTGTTTATCCATTCACCTGCTCATGGACATTTGGATTGTTTCTAGTATGGGGCTGCTGTAAATAAAGATGCAATGAATATTTGTATACAAATATTTTTGTGGACATACAGTTTTCATTGCTCTTGAATAAATACCGAGGAGTGAAACTGCTGAGCTGTATGGAAGTGTATGCTTAACTGTTTTACAAATTGCTATAGTCACTTTACACATTCACCAGCAAAGTTCCAGTTCCAGATGCTCCATATCCTCTCCAACACTTGTTATAATGTCAATCTTTTATCATTTTACACAGTCTATTGGGTATGTAGTGGTATACCACTGCAGTTTTAATTTATGTTTCCCTGACAACTAATGATGGTAAGCACTGTTTCCATGTCTTACTGGCATCTTGTAAGTATTCTTGCATGAAATATCTGTTCAATCCATTTGCCAATTCTGCCCTGGGTTGTTTTATTTAATAATGACTTTTATAGGAGTTCATATATTCTGGATATAAGTCTTTTGTTGTTATGTGTGGATATAATACCTGGAAATTCTGTTGTGTCCTGACCACGCAGAGAACTTGTCTGAAAACCAGGCTTACACACTGACATCGGCAGAGCAGAAGGATGAAGTGAACCTTGCTCCTTGATAACATCATTAAGCCACCCTGTAACCCAACCTTGGAATCACCCTGTTTCCATCTCTTGTTATGACAGATAGCAACTTTCATTATTATTTAAGTTTTTCTGTTACTTAGAAATAAAAGGACTCAGATATTGAGGTCCTTTTCTATTTCTGAGTGTTCTACATTTCATAGTTATTAGTTTCTTATTTTCACTCTATAGTTCCCATGAAGTATTCTGCAGTGTTGATTCTTCCCTGTATTCCTTTTCTAAAAAATTATATTTTATTAAAAAGATGTGGAGTATAAGTCCAGATTAGGTATGTAAGTAATGCATGTACAGGTGAAATGTGGGCCTCTAACCGGTCCTCACTTCCCCTGGTTTAGGATTCGGTACCCTTTGTGTTGTTACATGTCCCCATCCCTCCTCCCTCCCCTGGCACTGTCCTAGGACTGCCAGTCCCTCCCTTGTGCTATTGTGATTAATGTTCAGGTCCCTCTTATGAGCGAGAATATGCGGTATTCACTTTGTTTCTCCCTGTATTCCTTTTGATTTTGTTTTCAGTTCTATGATTCTATTTGGTTTTCTTTGGGCTCACATTGCATCTTCTTTTGAGTTACTGTATTTCTTTGCTTTGTAGCTTTTCCTTACAAAAGTAACCATCTTCATTAAGTATTTTACAATTTATAGCAAGATGTATATTTGAAATTTTCATCTGTTCCAAGCTAATATGCCTTCTGGAGCATGTATCTTATCTATGTTTTGATGGGCTTTTCCAACTTTTCCTATAAATAAAGTGTGTGCTAGTTCCCTTTTTACTATACATCACTGAATAAGTTAAGTTTCTTAGATTAGCTATGTCCAAGATGTTAACTTGGAGTGAGCAAGGTTGTTTTTCTAAAAAGACTGGATGGTCTTCACAACAAAAGCCTCGCCATTGTTTTTTTTTTGCAAATACAGCTTACTTTTAGACTTCTTAAACCAACTGGCTCACCCCAATTCCTGCATCCGTTGTTGAATAAAAGAGGTGTGGCTCTTGTACTTCAGAGTATGCTTCTCAGCTTTAGAAAGTGTTTTTACTGGCACTTTAAAGATTGGTCTCCTAAATTCTCATCCTTCCCACATTTTCTTCCTAATCTTAGTCACCTGATCTGTATCATCTCACTAAAAATGGAGTTTGTCCCTCTTCCTCCCATTTTACTGTTACTTTTGAATGATTTCCAAAAACGGGTGAAAGAGCTTTTACATAGCCATGTTCACAAAGTCCTAATTTTATCATTAGTAATATTTATAGTTTGTTATTTTGTTTTATTCAACCCTTCATTAATAAGAGAAAACATCATTTTTACTTGACATTAGGCTTCCTTTTTCATTACATAAAAAATTTAAAAAATTTTCAAAAAATCCTAAGGTCTGAAAATACTTTACAATCTTTCCTTATTTCCAAGGCAACCCCCTCCACACACAATAAAAATCAATCCAAATTATACTTCTGTGAAACAAAACAAACATATATTTCTACTATAACAAATAAATTATAATGCAATTTCATTATCTATAATTTTATCAGCAAAAAGTTTCAGAAACCTTTATTTCTGATTAGTATCAGAAATGTGGTAGTTCAGATAGAAGTTCACAGCCAACCAGCAAAAGTGTCAGACAGAATTGCCTAATAATTATTCACAATTCCTATGATTTCATTTTCTCACAAATCTTTTCAAAAAACATTTTATTTTAAAGTTGTAGGGTCAATTCAAGGTCTTACCTATCTTAAAAGGAGATGGCAAAGAGACAAAGTAGAACAATATTATAAATGACACATAATAAATATAATCCTTTCCATCTTGCCAAAATGATAAGAGAACATAGTATATTCATAAAATTACCTTATTTGGTCTTCCAATCAATGGGTTGTTACCACATCGTCTATTGATGATGTCACGAATAAGATGCTTTTGCCCATTATATGTTGTTAGAATACTGATTCTGTCAGCAGGATAACCGAGTAAACACATGTACATAAAAAGTGCTACTACATATTCTGCCTCTCCAAGATTCTGCAATGTAAACACAATCAGATTGTACATTTATCTCCTTTGGTCATAATATTTATTTATTTTTTTGTTTGTTTGTTTTTGAGTTGGAGTCTCACTCTGCTGCCCAGGCTGAAGGGCAGTGGCACGATCACGACCACTGCAGCCTCGACCTGCTGGGCTGAGGCGATTCTTCTGCCTCAGTCTTCCAAGTAGCTGGAACTATAGGCATGTGCCACCATGCCCAGCTAATTTTCTTGATTTATTGTAAAGACGAAGTCTCGCCAAATTGCTCAGGCTGGTCTCGAACCCCTAGGCTCGGGCAATCCTCTCACCTCCACCTCCCAAAATGCTGGGACTACAGGCATGAGCCACCGCGCTCGTGGTTATAACTTTAGAAAGTAAATGGCTCATGCAGTACAATTTGTTCACTTAGCACATGACAAGAATTTAAGAGTTAGTAACTTGGATAAGTGAACGCCTTTCATAAAACTAAGGAATAAAGTCAACACTGATGACTAAAAACTTTGACATTTGCAATATGTTAGCAATACATGAAACAATCATAAAATAAAAGTTACCAACTTATATACTTAATGTCCTTGGGACCACAACAATTACGATATAGATCAATAATATTATGTAAGGTATACTACAACTGTAGGTATGAAAAAATATTAACATAAAGGAACAAAGTAACTAAGAGGCTATTATAAAATACAGACTAATAGCATATACATCTGGCAGTATTTTAGCTGACTCAATTTTTGCACAATAATTTCCTTCTTCCTCATGTTTCTTAACATTTATGTTTTTTTTTTAATTGTTGTTCTCTTACTGATGATTGCTACCTCTACTAGACCACTTCAGGGAATGAGGATTTGGCCTCAATTGGTCAGCCTGGGTTCAATGTTAAATTAGAGATTGGTTAAGGATTGGTGGGGCCAGGTATGGTGGCTCACGCCTGTAATCCCAGCACTTTGGGAGGCGGAGGTAGAAGACTGCCTTAGCTCATGGGCTCAAGACCAGCCTGGGCAACTTGGCAAGACCTTGTCTCTATAATATATCAAAAAATTAGCTGGATGTGGTAGCACGCGCCTATGGTTCCAGCTACTTAGAAGGCTGAGGACAAAGGATTGCCTGAGCCCAATAGGTCAAGGCTGAGGTGGTCATTGAGTATGCCACTGCACTCCAGTCTGGGTGATAGAGTGAGACTCCAACTCAAAAGTAAAATAAAAATTGGTGGGAAGGAGCTTAAAACAAACACTTAATTCAACTTAAAAGTGAGTAATCATACACAAAGCTGTTTAGTCCAGTTCAGTAGAGACTACATTCAAAATACTAGATGAAAGAAAAAAGTTAAATGAGAATATAAACACAACATGAAATTTTATTTTGAAAAAGGTAAGAAGCAGTATTTCATGCAAAGACGAGAGAAAAATTACTGGAAGATTTTTAGAAATATCATTTATACTCTGGTTCTTTGTGATACTTGCACAGCCTGAATTATTTCTTTCACTTAAATTTTCTAGTTATTTGGGAGATGAAAGGAAAAAGAAGTCACATGACTGTAAATCTTTCCATTTTCTATATTTGTAGCAAACTACATTCGTTTAAGTATTGGTTCTAATATAGATAAAAGAACAAACTGAAAATCATGGAAATGACCATAATAAAAGGTAGGGCTAAAACTCAGTTTTTAAGACATTTATTTTTGGCAAAATTGAAAAGTCCTCAAAAAATAGAAACTGTTTCTTTATTCATGTGAAAAATGAACTTTGCCCAATTTGGTACTTTGCCCAAAGGTCAGAAATGAAGCATCGAAAATAAGACAATGTAAATTGTATTTGACAGTCTAGAACTTGCTCCAAATACATCCCCTTCAAATGAATGACTTTTATTCATTTATCCATGTATCCTTTCCCTTGCAGACACAAATTCTTCAGATGTTTTATCACTTAAACGCACAGTACTCTTGTTTTTGGCTACTACACAAAGACTGTTATCTTTTGCTATATATGCTGCCAGATCTTTTTGTATACATTATTTATGTATTTCTATATGCTTTGCTGTTCCTTTTTAAAAATAAAATGAGACACTATTGATATACTTTGCAACTTGCATTTTAAACTTAATATGGCATAAACATTGTTCCAGTCAGTAAACACTTATAATGTTATCATTCTTGGTGGATATTCAGTATTTCTTTTATATATAGGTCATTATATAGTTAATCCCAAATAGATATTTATGTTGTTTCTCATTTCCAAAATAATCTGCACTGATGAATATTTAAGCATGTAAATCTTTGCAAACTTGCCCAATTTTCAAAAATTTCTATAAGCGAGATCACTGTTTTTAATACATATTAATGGTATGTCCACCAAATTATTTTCCTATTAGCATTGTATGAATTCAGAATTTCTCCAAACCTACTCTGACACTGAGTATTATCAAAAGAGGTAAAAATATGATCCAGGTATTTATACTTGTTATAAATTTGTATCATTTGTGAATTGCATATTCTTATCCTTATTGCATTTTTCTGTTGGAGTACTATTTTTAGAAAGTAATTTATAAGATATATATATATATATACACACACACATTTCAGAATTCAATCGATTATCTGTTAAATACTGAAAATAAATTTTCTTGCAAATCAATATTTTTCTTTATGATTTCTGCTTCAGAAGACCTTTCTTACCTCAACACTTACATATTCATTAATATTTTCTTCTAGTAGCAATGAGTATGTTTATAGTTTCTTTTGTGTATATATCTTTAATTCATTTGAAACTGATTTTCTGTGTGTTATGTGTAAGGTGGGACTCTAGCATTGCTCCTCAATGGCTAGCCAAATGGTTCAATATCATTGATTTAGGTAGCAAATCAGTTGGCAAATGCAAAATAAACTGAAAAGGTTCATGTTTTTTCTTACCTGATAAAAATAAGGATTAGGTTCAGACTCTCCCACTCCCTGAAAATCTTCAACATTAATGAGCTGGAAGTCATACAGTAAGCCAGCATTTGCTGTACTGAACTCTGGCAGGAGCTGCACATGGGGTAAGTTTCCTAGATTCTTGTATCGCCAGTTGTAGAGGTTGCACAAGCTTTCCAAAGACAAATCCCAGCCAAGACAGAAAATGTTAAAATTCCTTTTAATATACATAAGGAGGCACCTAAGGAACTGAAACAACTTCAAGTAACCAAGGGTGAGAATATTGAAGAAACTACAAAAATGACTGCTCTATTGTGCTCCCTGAGATAAATGCTATCTTTATTCCTTAAGCTAAAAAATCAGGGAAGACTAAAAATTGAGAGCAATTTGGGAGTAACTAAGAGATGAGGCCTGTACTCTTTATGAAGTAAGAACTGGTGTGTTCTTCTTGCTCATTTTTTGCTTTAGATTTCAAAATTACATTAACTATATCTTTTGGGAACATAAAAGGGAAGGGACAGTGAAAAAAAAAGCCTTTAGATTACAAGTATCTTAAGTTAATCTCAATGAGTAAAATGAAGGAAATTATTTGGTTAGTTCACATCAATGCAGAAGGCAATAAAGGTGCTTTCAGATTTATAGATGTTAAAAGATGTTTATAAGCCAGGCACAGTGGCTAACGCCTATAATCCCAGCACTTTGGGAGGTTGAGGTGAGAGGACTGTCTGAGCCCACGGGTTCAAGACCAGCCTGGGCAACTTGGTGAGACCTCATCTCTACAATAAATCAAAAAAATTAGTCAGACACGGTGGTGCGTGCCTGTAGCTCCAGCTAATAGAAAGGCTGAGGCAGAAAGATCACCTGAGCCCAGTAGGCTGAGGCTACAGTGGCCATCAGTGTGCTACTGCACTCCAGCCTGGGTGACAGACTGAGACTCCAATAAAAAAAAAAGATGTTTATAGCTTTGGGAGGCTGAGGCAGGAGGATGGTTTAAGGCCAGGAGTTTGAGACCAGAAACCAGCAAGACCCCATCTCTACAAAAATAAAAAAATTAGCTGGGTGTGGCAGTGTGCCTATAAGTGGCTATTCAAAAAGCTGAGGCAGAAGTATCCCTTTAGCTCAGGAGTTCAAGGTTACAGTGAGCTATGATTGTGCCATGGCACTACAGCCTCAGCAAGAGAGTGAGACCTTGTCTCTAAAAACATAAAATAATAAAAATACAATGAAATAAAATACATTTGCAAATACTTAGATCATGGAATTAATGTCCTTAAATAGGAATGTCCCCCCTATCTCCTTTACCTTGCTCTGGCTCTCCCTTGAGCATCAAGGTCCACAGTAGGAACTCCAACCCGGACGAAGCGAGTGAAGAGAGACTGCTCCATGTTTGAATACTTCTGAAAGGCCATGTTCTTAATGACTGGAGGTAACTGGTGATGATCACCAATCATAATCCATCGTTTTAGTCGGCTAAATCCATCCTGAGGATTCTAGAACGAAAAGTGAAGAAATGGTAAAATAATCGAATTAATATAGTATCCTGTTAGTCTCCAATTTATTTCACAAGAGACTCACTCTTCATCAGCTTCCTTAATTTACAAATTCTCAATCTTTACTAGCTCCAAGCAAAGCAGTCTGGCAAATTATGGAACAACTAGTGAACCAAATATGGATGTCACTGCTCTTGGCTGACAGTGGGCGAGGGAGAGTAGAGGGATTGAGAAGGCAAGTCTTTAACAGGCAGGGTCATCCAAAGAGGTCTGCATTAGGCAAAGAGTACATAGAAAGAAACAGAAGCTCAAGAAGAGAAATGGAAAGATGCAAAATCAACACCTTGTTTTACAATTATGCTGAAGACCAGTTCTGAACCCACCAAAGCAGTAAAAGCTACACCTTCTTTAATTTTCTACACTATTATTTCAATTTCCTACTCTATATATCTCCTTGTTCCTTGAAATACATCCTGACCAAATATATTCCAAGTTCCAAATAATTTGACTTACAAAGACAATTTTGGAACTCAACTTATCTATAAATTAGAGCAGTCTCTATTATTAAATTGGGAATTCCACATTCTGTTTTTAATGCTTCAATAGTAAGCAATATTGTACAGTAAGAAAGATTGTTGGCTTGGTGCAGTGGCTCATGCCTATAATCTCAGCATTTTAGGAGGCTGAGGAGAGAGGACTGCTTGAGCCCAGATGTTCAAGATCAGCCTGATCTACATAGTGAGACCTCGTCTCCACAAATACAAAAAAAAATTTTTTTTTTTTTTTTTGAGTCGGAGTCTCACTCTGTCACCCAGACTGGAGTGCAGTGGAAGCTCCCGGCCACCGCAGCCTCGACCTGCTGGGCTCTGGCGATCCTTCCGCCTCAGCCTTCCAAGTAGCCGGAATTACAGGCATGCGCTACCATGCCTGACTGATTTTTTTATTTATTGTAGAGATGAGGTCTCGCCTGCCCAGGCGGGTCTTGAACCCGCGGGCTCAGGCAATCCACTCACTTCAGCCTCCCAAAGGCGCGGGATTACAGGCTGAGCCACCGAGCCCGGCTAAAAAAAATTTTTTTAATTAAAAAAAAAATTTATTGAATATTTCCATGTATCCAAAAGCAGTTTACTTAGTGAACATCAACAACACATCTAGAAACAATTATAACTAAAGAAATGAAGAAATAGCTTATCTTCCCTCCAAACTATATAATATAATTTCTGGATTAAAATTACTAAGTCTTTTCAAAACTACTTTGTAGAAATAAACTTTTAAGTAGTATTCTCAGAAGTGATACAAACTACTAAACAGTCAGTGAATAAGGTTAAAGGAAGCTTACAGGCTTAAAATACAATACCAAATATAACAAAATGAAGGAAAATACATACTTGTGGCAATTAGCATCCCCAAACTGTACAGCTTTCTGATGCTGTCCTGCAGAATTCTTAAAATTATATTTTCAGTGTCTCAGATCTTAATTTCTTACCTGTAGAAGAAGAGGTATAAAAGTTTCTATCTCCAGAATCTGAGCAGCCTCTTCCATTAAAATGTTGTCATACTGAGAAAGAAAGAACAGAGCTTGTTAAAAAAAAAAAAAAAAGACAACTTAAAGGCCTAACAACTACTACTGTAACCATAACAAGTATCCCCAAAACTGCCAAATAATATCAGTTAAAAATAACAACATATAGATTATTTAAACAGAAAGTTCATGATCTTATTTCTCATTATGTTCCTGAATCTCCAATTCAAGTCTTCAACCTCAGAAAAGCCCCCTAAATATACAACTCTACACTGAAGAGATCTTATACTTGTATATCACTTCTTGAATTGCAATATCAATTTAGTTCTTAAATTCTGCATTAGCAAGATTCAGCTTATATTTATGTATGAGGTAATCACATTGGTAGTCTCACCCTAAGCAGTATTTTGTGGTAATTTTTTTTTCCCTTATGAATCTTACCCATCACAATAATCTACTTTTGGTCTCTTCCCTCTGCATTCAATTAATCACCAAAGCATGTCAATTTTACTTTCAAAACTCTTTCTTGAGTCTACTCACTTTTCTAATAGTACTACCACTCTAAAAGTCTAAGCCACCACCAAGACTACTGCCAGCAAACTACTTAATAGTCCCTCCCTATCCTGTCCTGACTCCTCTAAGCCACAGATACAGCTTCTGGTTTCAAACTCTTCATTGTCAAGAGCCTATACTCAATCTGGCCTCTGACTTCTACTTTATCTGACACACTCTTCCTTATTCACTAAGCTTTTCAACCACAATGACCTATGCCTCTGAAATGGCAGAACCTTTCCAGTCTCATGCCCTTAGCACATGCTAGTCTTTCTTCATTTTTAGTCTGCTTGGCTCTTTCTCATTCTTAAAAGTATCAGCTTGGCCTGGCATGGTGGCTCAAGCCTGTAATCCCAGCACTTTGGAGGCCAAGGTGAGAGGATTGCCTGAGCCTACGGATTTGAGAACAGCTTGGGCAACTTGGCGAGACCTCATCTCTACAATAAATTAAAAAATTAGCTGGGCATGGTAGTGCACACCTGTAGTTCCAGCTACTTGGAAGGCTGAGGCAGAAGGATCGCCTGAGTCCAGCAGGTCCACGCTGGAGTGGCCATGAGTGTGCCACTGCACTCTAGCCTGAGCAACGGAGTGAGACTCCAACTCAAAAAAAAAAAAAAGAAAAAGAAAAAAGTATCATCTTAAACCCATTTTATCCAGGCCTTCTCTGACCTCCCAATCTAAAACTGATCTCAGAGTGTGCTGTTCCTTTGTCTTACATAACTTCTCAATATGTACTTCTATCTGTATATTTACTTGGTTAATGTCTGCATCCTCTCCCTAACCCAGTTCCCATTTCCTTCTACGACTCAAGATGGGTTAAGATTGTCAATCTTAGGTAGGTATTATTGTATGTTTGTAAAAGAATGAAAAATCAAGCCTTTCTCAAACAGAAGACAATTTCATTCTTTCTTTGATAGTTAACTGTTCTTCTTTCTGCCCAATTCTCTTCTAGATATATTCTTAACATGTATCTTTCCACTCTACTTCTAATTCTGATTGCTACTTGGCATGATATCCTATTTCATATTTTATTGGTACAATATCTTCTTCGCGAATCCCACTAAGTATACATTTGAGTTCTTTGATTTCTGTTTTTAAAGTTTTCTCCTTTATTTTCTAGGGAGGTGGAAGGTAGGGTAAAATATTTACTCTAAACTCTTGATTAACTCTCCCTTCTAAAGTATGGTTTAATTCTATACTGTTTGTTATTGAAACTACCTGAAGATTTAGGCATGTGGACGGGTCTCTTTTCTAGCTCTATACGATGCCTAATTTCCCTCTCGCAATGATTAGGCCATTTTTGTGGGAGCTGGGAAAAAAAGGAGGAATGCCAAGAGCCATATTTTCTAAGTCCCTGTGTGGACTCTCAGGATTATAGATATCACAGAGTGATAGCAGCTCAAAAGAAGACAGCTTTATAGAAACTGCTTTTTGAAAAACGACTCTGAAAATCTAATGCAATTCACTTATAAAAACATATTTATAGATTTTGCTTTTTAAAAAGACGTGAATGCCAAAGCAAAATTATCGGCAATTTAGCTGGTTGATCCATGTATATATTAGCTAGATCATTCATTCATTCAACCCTTACTAATCCTTACTATAATGGCGACATGCTGGGCTGGCAACTGATGCTCTGTGGTAGGTGCCAGGCTAGAAATTAGTTCACTGTCATCTTTCAAAGGATTCCTACATTCATACTGTTACTACAGCTCTACAGTTCTTTAGTAGACTACAGCTGGTAGGATAAAGCCAGAGTGGGAAAAGAGGAAGAGCACAACAGATTTGAAATTCTTAGAAAATTATGTTTTGTTTTGTTTTTTTTGAGTCGGAGTCCCACTTTGTCTCCCAGGTTGAAGTGCAGTGGCACACTAACGGCTACCACAGCCTCGATCCTTCTGCCTCAGCCTTGCAAGTAGCTGAGACTATAGGAAGGTGGCACCACGCCTAGCTAATTTTTAAATTTATTTTAGAGATGCAATCTTGCCATGTTCCAGGCTGGTCTCAAACTCCTGGGCTCAGGCAGTCCTCTCACTTTGGCCTCCCAAATTGCTGGGAATACAGGCATGAGCCAACATGCCCAGCCAGAAAATTATGTCTTTAATCCTAGCTTTTAAGTGACTACTTGTGACTCTAAGGTAATCATCTCTGTTGTTTTTTCTGAACTGTATAATAGAGATGATATGTCATAAAAATCTAGCTGTGAAGAATAGAAATAAGTCATTGTAAATGACCTAGTATATACAGAATTTGGTACATAACTGACACTCAACAACTGGTTAATATTGCTGTTGTTGCTTTGGTTATTGTTCTAATATATTTTCTTCTATAATTCCTACAACTCAAAATGGGCTTAAGATGACTAACATTATATTTTTAATCCCTGAGAACAGATATATAAATTAGAGCTAATATTTAACTTTGTGTTAGAAATAAACTGGGCTTTAACAAAATAGAAGTTCAAACAAAAGTGGTAGACTTTTGCTAAAAGGTAAAAAACTGAACACACAATGATTTCCACTACCTCTGGAAACCCCCTAACACTTGACATTACATAGGATTTTATACTTCCCCACTTCAAGAAACAAAACTAATGTCTCTTCTTTCTCAGCCCCACAGAAAACAGAAAGTTTAGTGTCTGGAGAGGATCTTGGGACCTGGACAAACAAGGCAGAATTAAGAGGGTGGAATCTGAAATGAGTACCCACAGAAAATGGGAATTATGTCAAAGTCAGTGTATATACAGAATGTGAAGACGCTGGCTTTCTCCATTCAGCTCCCACCCTGAGAGCCAGGAAAGTAGGAGTTAAAGTAGCTCTTCCTCCTCTTCCTTCTGCGCAGCCCACCCCCCACCAAAGATGTACCACTGCAAAATTTCAGAACTCTAGGACAAAAAAAAAAAAAAAAAAAAAAAAAGATTATAAGCCTTCCTGAAAGAAGAAAAAAGTGAAATAAAATAAATTTAAAAATCGAACAGAACTGCTTTAGACTTCTAAACAGCCACATCAGAAGCTAGAGAAAAGTCAAACAATTCTTTAAAATTTGCAGGAAAAACTGTATCCAATCTAGAATTTTATACCTAGCCATACTAATCAAATGTGAGAGCAGACTAAATATATTTTTTTGGACAAGGAAAGTCTGAAAAAAAATTACCTCCTATGCAACCTTTCACATGAAAAATACTGGAGGACACACTTTATTAAAACAAGGACGAGAAAAGCATGTAGTGTAGGAAACAGAGAATCTAACATATAAGAAAGGCAAAGGCTTAAAAACAGATGCAATCTGAACTGAAATAGGTCAGAAGAATCCAGGAAAAACATCTCAAAGAACAGGTATATGATGTGTTTAAAAATACCAAGAAGAGATTTAAAAATTAAGGAAAAGTTTGGGTTGAATTGGTCATAAAACAGAAACTAAGCAAACAAACAAAAAAAGATGACAATTATTAATTCCAGAGAAAACAAAAAATTGTGCATGAAAGGAAAAGTAACCATGATATACCCCCTTGCTTAGATGTGAAAGTGTTTGTGTGTTCATAATAATATAAACAACTAGCACTGAGCAAACCAAAATTATGACATAACTATGTTGGGAGCACTAATGAAAGAAGAGTGTGTGCATATGTGTGTCATGTATGCGTGCATTTGTCTTCAGGGATAGCACAGAATTAAAAGACAATGCCTATATGGAAATCTGACATTCTTTACTAATACAGATGAAAAGCACAAAACAAATAATAAAAGAGCTCAAGGACTGGATAATTGGGGAGCATCAGGAAAGTGGAGAACAGTTTTTTTCTGTTAAGGATATCTACAATAAAACTTCAAAATCAAAAATATTAAAAAAAAACCTCTCAGCACTTATGCTAAGTACCTTTAGATATATAGCATGATTCGAGTATAGAAAACAACTAATGAAAATTTGTTAAGTAGTATTTTTATAACACGTTCAAAAAGCTGCATGGAAGCATACAATGCTAATTGAGTGCATTATTTCCCTTTGTTATTAAACTAACAGGACTTCATATCAAATTTAAAGTATATTTTATATATCAGCCATAAGAACAAAATATTTAGGCAAAATATTCTCAAATAATTTGTAAAAGGTAAGCTCACACCAGTGGGATAAGTTCATACTACCTTTGAATAAATTATCATATTTGTCCTACCTTGTAGTTGAGGAACCTTTTATCCAAGATAACAACAATTCTATCACCTTGAATTTATTTAGCACCTATCTTTCAGTGAGCTCATAACATTTTAAAACTATCAGTAACATTCATCAAAAAATGAATTACTAACTTTGAATTAAAACCATTACACAAATTCTATTTTAAGCAACAGATAAACCAGTTGCAAGAAAGTTAAATGATTTGTATTGAAATCACTAACAAAGAAAGCCACATAGAGTTTGCAAATTCATATTTACTACTCGATCATTACGTGCCACTTCAAATTAGTCACAGGCTAACAAGCAATCATGCTCTCCCCTTCTTTCATTTTAATATCTCATTTTACAGTCTAAAGAGTATTCCATATATTTACATGAAAGGCTTTTCATCTACTGAATAAAACAAATAACTGGGGTGGCTGTATGCCGAATACATGAAAAATGCAAACATACAGATGTCTAATAGGTGAAAACCACTGTGAAATGTTATTTTTATAGCTTTTAGTTCTGCTTAGAACTAAATAAGTGATATTTAGTGAAAATAAAACCTTAATAAATATGAGAATCTGGTCAGACTACCATATGGTTGCAATGTTACTTAATGGACGTATTACCCACACTAGATCTAGAAAAAATTAGATTTTGAGTTCACTAATCTCATAAACATGTGTCATCATTCGTTTTTAAAAGAGACATTTATAAATAATTATTAATGAGAACATCAATAAGAAGTGAGCCAATATCCAAGGGAAATAAATGGCAAGTCTTTACCTTGAAACCTAACTTGACCAAGTCATGTCGTTTTAAGGCAGCATGAGTACAAGTCATAGCAATAATTTTGGCTTCTTTCACCAAAAGGTATTTAGATCTGTCCAGTCCACTTCGAAGCAATTCAGAAGCTCTGAATTCCTATGGGAGCGGGGGGGGGGGGGGGGGCAGTGAAAGACAATTTTAGGAAAACAAAGTTAATGCATACAGCCATATAATCTAGTCAATCAGACTTTTTTTTTTTTTTGAGTTGGAGTCTCACTCCATCGCCTAGACTGGAGTGCAGTGGCACGCTCCCGGCCACCGCAGCGTCGACCTGATGGGCTCCAGCGATCCTTCTGCCTCAGCCTTCCAAGTAGCCGGAACTACGGACGTGCTACCATGCCCGGCTAATTTTTTATTTATTGTAGAGACTAGGTCTCGCCAAGTTGCCCGAGCGGGTCTTGAACTCACAGGCTCAGGCAATTCACTAGCCTCGGCCTCCCAAAGCGCTGGGATTACAGGCTGAGCCACTGAGCCTGGCCAATCAGACTTAATTCCTGAGAAATTAACATAAATATATCATAAACTAAACGTAATGAATCATAATTCCATTCACTATTATTCAGATACTAATTGAGTTCAAGTAATAGCTGATATAAAAGCTACAATGGAGCCGGGCTCGGTGGCTCAGCCTGTAATCCCACACTTTGGGAGGCTGAGGTGAGTAGATTGCCTGAGCCCGTTGGTTTGAGACCCTCCTGGGCAACTTGGCGAGACCTCATCTCTACAATAAATCAAACAATTAGCCAGGTGTGGTAGCGCACACCTGTAGTTCTAACTGCTTGGAAGGTTGAAGCTGCAGTGGCCGGGAGCGGCCACTACACTCCAGTCTGGGTGACAGAGTGAGACTCCAACTCAAAAGAAAAAAAAAAAAAGATACAATGGGCTTTTTTGTGTGTAAGTATTTTACAATATAAACAAGAATACTAACTAAAATAACAATTACCATTATTATCTGCATTACTCAAGATCCTGCCAGGGAAACAGAAATTATTATAAGTATTTATATCAAGAGAACTTAAGCAAGGAACTGGTTACACAGGCGACAGAGGAGCTGAAAAGCCAACTAGGGAATGGTGAAGTAACACAGAGATTAGTGAAAGCAGGCAGTCACTATCATTCCTAGGCTAGAAAGGATAGGAAGGAAAGTGGTGTTATCAGAGCCTTGGGTCTGTAGTCACAAAACAAACTGGACCCACAGCAGAGTCATGTAGGAGAAATTGGAGTCATGGAAGACATGAAGCCCCAGACAGAGGAAAATGGTGCCCTGCCTTTCTCTCCTTCATGTCCTGCCACATCTCTCACTGGCTAAACTCAGTCAGAAGCCAGGTGACACAGCAGGCTGGGAGATTAAATCTGTAAGAATTAGCCAGAACATCAACCATGGCAGAGGCTACCCCACATAGCAGAATACAGGATGGACAATCGATGGATGTGAGGGGCAAACAGGGCCAAGCTGAGTACCCAATATCAAGTTTTACAGAATCTGAACATTACTGATGCTTATTTCAAACTTTTTAAAACATTCTTGTTTTGTTTTTTAAAAAAATTAAAACATTAGAGACACAGGTTAGGTACCCTGTACAGTAAGCCCCCTACATACGAACAAGTTCTCTCAGAGAACATATTCATAAGTCCAGTTTGTTCGTAAGTGCAACAAAGTTAGCCTAGGTACCCAACTAACACAATTGGCTACAGAGTACTGTTCTGTAATAGGTTTATAATACTTTTCACACAAATAATACATAAAAAATAAAGAAAATATTTTAAATCTTACAGTATAGTACCTTGCATGCATATGTCAATGCACACCAGAAACATGAACTTATGTGATTGGACATAAGAATGCACATTCACAACTTTGAAAGTTCACAACTTGAAGGTTCATATATAGAGGATTTACTATATATCCTTTTCCCTACCCACTTCCAAGGCAGCTACTATTATGAATTAAGTATTTATTCTTTTACTCTGTGTTTATATAATCATAAACATAACGCCTTGTATGTACCAAATACTGTTCTAGGAAGTAAGGATTTAATCATATCTAAAAGACAAAAAGAAAAAAGGGACAAAGTCCCTGCTCTTCTAACCTGTAGTAATCCTAAACATTCTTACCGAGGAATCCAAGCCTGAATGTGATCCCTTTACAGAACTGCTGTAGTTTGTCAACATTGTTTGCTTTGAGGCATATGAAAACTAGGAAACATCCAGAGGGCCCCAGGGTTCTAGACGTATTCTTCTCTGTCCCCACTGTGTAGCTATGACTTTTATTTCACTTTAATAATCAGAATCAATCTGGCTACCATGGCAACCTCACTTTTTTTACTCAGCAAAAAGCATCAGGAGCCAGGCTCGGTGGCTCAGCCTGTAATCCCAGTGCTTTGGGAGGCTGAGGTGAGTGGATTGACTGAGCCCGCGGGTTCGAGACCCGCCTGGGCAGGCGAGACCTCATCTCTACAATAAATCAAAAAATTAGCCGGGCATGGTAGAGCGTGCCTATGGTTCCAGCTACGTGGAAGGCTGAGGCAGAAGGATCGCCGGAGCCCAGCACGTTGAGGCTGCAGTGACCGGGAGCGGCCACTGCACTCCAGTCTGGGTGACAGTGAGACTCTAACTCAAAAACAAACAAACAAACAAACAAACAAAAAGGTATCAGGAACTTAGAATGGCCACGTGGCAGTCTCAAATTCCAATTCAGAGAATCATTACTGAATTTCCTGATGGAAGCATTCCTTTCTTAAATACTAAGACCTTCACATAAGAAATGTCAGAATAAAGATACAATTCATATCTCAATATATACTTAATTCTTGAACTAAATCTATGAATATTTTCAGTAATCTTAATTAAAGGCAACAATCTGATTTCTAAGATTTGAACACTGTACATTTATTTCATTTAAAAAAAAACTAAACTAGCTGGGCTCGGTGGCTCAGCCTGTAATCCCGCGCCTTGGGAGGCTGAGGTGAATGAATTGCCTGAGCCCATGGGTTTGAGACCCGCCCGGGCAACTTGGCGAGACCTCATCTCTACAAGAAATCAAAAAATTAGCCGGGGGTGGTAGCGTGTGCCTGTAGTTCCAGCTACTTGGAAGGTTGAGGCAGAAGGACTGCCAGAGCCCAGCAGGTCGAGGCTGAGGTGGCCAGGAGTGGCCATTGCACTCCAGCCTGGGCGACAGAGTGAGACACCAACTCAAAAAAATATATATATATAAAAAGTAAAAAGTAAAAAGTAAAAAAAAAAAAACAAAAAACTAAAACCCTTAAAGGAAAGTTCAAAGAACTTAAGAATCCTTACCTCAAGCTGAGTAAAGATTTTCTTAATATGCCTGAAACATCCTTCAGCAATTTCCATATCTTCTTCATAAGATCTGCCTTTAAAAATGGGTTGTGGGGCATTTGCAAAGTATTCGTGGAAGGGGAAGAAAGTGGAGACTTCTGTAACATCTGGCAATGTACTGCCTTTATTTTTCACTTTGCTGATATACTCTTCCCAACGAGACATTACCTGTAGGAAAAAAACCTTGAAGTTAACTCTGCCAGCTAACTATGATAAAAAAAAGAAATCAAGTACAAATAAGATCTTCCAAGTTAAGACCAAAAAAAAAAAAAAAATGCAATCTCTGATCTAATATAACTACTTTTCATTGAAGTCACTGATAAACTGCTCTTAGTTTATAAAAGTAATGTTGTCTATAGAGTTAAAAGGCTCTTTCATAACAAAGGTAGAAACTGGAAAAGAATCTCAAAGTCTTTTCATGGGACTCTATCTCAGACATTTCAGATTCCCCATGTATACTCAAGATAGTTTATTATCAACCTTTAAAAGAAGTGAAGAAAAGAAAGCTCTCTGGACAAAGATATTTCTCACTTTTTTCATTATCTGCTTCTTTCAACATTTGGTAACTTTAGCTTTAGCAGGTCTTAAATCAATATAGCACTTGTCAACTCCTCTCCCTGACCTTTATAATTTTTCCACTTCTCTTCAGAATATTTACATAGAACTTCTGAGTATATATTTGAAAGATCATCTTATGAGTTTTATAATGTAGTTCAATTATGTCTTTGTATAATGTTAGCTATGCCTCTACCAGCCATTTCCTAGGTAACTTCAATTCTTAGTTCTTACCAGTATGAGTCTAATGTTGACTACACTGTCAAGATAATGTATTTCTTTCCTGCTTTACAAGAAACCATGGAAAGCTGCTCACTTTGAATGGATTCAACTGGTTTGTGTTTCCACTTACAGTAAGCATAAGCTCATTCTTTCATACATATTTTATTATGCCAATGTTATAATTTACATCTAAAATATATAATTGGCATTAGAACAAAGAGAACAAAGTAATACAAAATCTGATTATGTCTTTGTCCATTTAAAGTTACTAGTAACCCAAGTATTAAAAGTTTATTTTTATTCCCATTATTTGGCTATTTCTCATTGATCTTCATATCCCAGAAATTAACCCTACAAAAAGCAAAACCACACCTTTAAACTGAAGTCAAAAGACTTTTTTTTTTAAGTCACAGTATCAGTCTCATCCAGGCTGGAGTGCAGTAGAATGATCATGGCTCATTGCATCCTCGACCTCCTAGGACTATGTGATCCTTCCACCTCCATCTCCACAAGTAGCTGGGCCTACAGGTGTACACCATCAAGCCACACTAATTGTTTTTAAATTTTTTGTAGAGACAAGATTTCACTATGTTGCCTAGTCTGGTCTTGAACTCCGAGGCTTAAGCAATTCTCCCGCCTTGGCCTCCCTCCTAAAGTGCTGGGATTACAGTGTGAGTCAAAAAGACTTTTTTAACTTCAAGTTCCACCGTGCAATTAGTTCTAAGACATAATTTATTTCTGAAATTTGAAAGGAGAATGTTTTTCTTCATTAGTCAATTAATGTACATAATGAAAGTTAACTGTACTTCGTCACCACTGGGTAGCTAGGAATATTTATTCATATTTCTACAGTAATTTTAAAAGGAGACCTGAAACTTTGTCAATGGAAATAAAAGAAAAAAAATTTTTAAATAGCAACACTGGCCTTTCACTGCACAAGTCATCAAGCAAAGTTATTTAAAAAAGAAAATTGAAGTTAACAAAAAATACTACCATTTAACATTGATAAATAATAGGTTTGACAATAGTACATTTTTAACCTACTCAACAAAAAAATAAGCTTTCAAGAAGGATAGCAAGAACCCATCCGAACTGGGGAAATTACAATGAAGTAGGATTCAAAAGCCCTTAATATCTTACCTGATATAAGAAAAAATAGCCTGCAGTTTCACAGGTATATGAGGCATCTCCTGGGACCCCTAGACTCTTTTGCAATCGTTTGACTTCTTCTAAAAGTTCTATTCTTCGAGCCAGGACATAATTAACTCTTCCATACCTAGAAATGTCATTTAGATAAAAAGTCAAAGCTGTGTAATGAAGAGTCTTTTGAAGGAAACAATCAGTAAAATCCAAGAAAATTGTAAAAGAAAGTATAAACGGCCAAAAAGAGAAGAAAAACAGACAGTAGAAAACACAACTATAAGTGGTAGTTCTTGGGTTATTTTACACCCAAAGCTCCTAGAGTGTCATCTATGGATGAATGTATTGACCTGCAAATGTGTTAATGGACTGTGAGGAGGCAAAACCAACTACAACACTAAATACATCAGCTATCTTATCAGCTTATCAGCTTAGTTCAGCTATCTTTTTTTTTTTCATAAAAAGATTTTCAAAAAGAAGAAAGCAGTACAGTGCATTCTGGCGCTAGTTCATCTCATCATAGACCAAGAATATATAAGTTATGAATTGACTGCTTTGAATAACATTGTTCTATGTTACCATAAAAGTAAAGTAGCTCTCTAAAGGTTTTGAAAAGTGATTTTAAAATGTATTTGATCATTCTCTGTAATCCTCATATCCTAGTACATAGTTTGGCACCCAAATTTAGTAAGATCATAAATATTTGCTTAAATGGTGAATGCCTTATTCAAAAATATATAGTAAGGAAAGAAAGTAGTAGAACCAGAATTTGATCCCAAAGTCTATACACATTCTTTCAACAATAGCAAAGTGCTTTTTATAACCCTTTAATCTTAAAATGGAACTGAAATAGTTCAATCATTGCTGTTCATGTTTCAAGATTCAACAAAAGAAGTCATGTTTCCTGCTGTTCCATAGTTCTGAGATTCACATCTGAGGCAGCATGAAATGATCAAGAGCTAAAAAAAGAGATATGAGACAGGACCTATATTCTGAAGAATTTTTCAGTGAGAAGAATATAAACATTATGGCTGGTAACTTTTTTCTACTTATCTATAGTTTACAATTTTATCTATAATGAACACTTTGGTAATGAAAAAAATTATAGACTCTGCTTGTAAAGAGTATATAATAAAATGTCAAAATTCTTACGACATAATGTTAAATTTAAAAAGTAATATACAATATAATGGAACTCTATGCACTAGCTAATCAATTAGTACATTACTATATTTTAAAAGTGAAATCTATTCATTATTTTTAAAAAGCAATATAAAAATTACAAATAATAGCCTGATTACAGGAAGAAACTAACAAATAGTAGTTTTGGGGTAGTGAAATTAAGGATGACCACTCTCCCTACAACTTTACCAGTTTTATAATTTTTTGGTGGGGGGAACATGGTATAATACTTTTATTGTGAAACAACAGTCACTATTTTCTTTTTAATTATGACAAAGAGAGAAATGAAAGATTATACCCAATCAAATGTGTCAGAAGGCAAAAAGTATTTTTCCCCAGAAATTTGATGGTACCTGAAATCATTTTTAAAATTCTACTTCTGTTCTAATTCTTTAAAAACTATAAGCTCTACTGCAGTATAGCTACAGTATTAACTTAAGCACTGTTAGCACCTTTATGTTCACTGAATTCTGAATTATTAGACTTTGGAGTCCAACTTATCTTTGTAAGGTGGCGTTAGCAGGAGGAAATGGAATGAATTCAGAGAAGTGTCACTGGCTGATCCAAAATTAAGAATCCAGAGCCCCAAACAACTTATGGCATGTTGTTCTTTGCCTTCTGCAACATGGTGACTTTTTATTTATTTTTATTTTATTTTAAAGATGTAAGGTACAATTCAAATGTATACAATGTATACAATGTATACAATTCAAATGTATACAAATGTTCATTATGCAGGTACCCTTGCTGGTGAGCTGTGCCCCTCCCTCCCCTGGCAGTTTCCCTCAACTGCCAATCCCATCCCCACCCCCAGCAGTTTTCCACTACTGCCAATTTCTTTCGTATGATAATTGTTCAAGGTCCGCTTATGAGTGAGAACATATGATACTGTTCTTTGTTTCTGTGATAGTTCACTGAGTACAATAGACTCTAAATCCGTCCAAGTTGCTGCGAAGTCCGTATGTTTGACCTTCTTTATGGCTGCATGATATTCCATTGTGTATATATAACATGGTGAATTCTTAAAAGTTACATATTTGGTGAGCCATGAGAACTCAAAAATAGATTTTACACAACAATTTAAAACTCTTTTAATGTCCATGATCCATTTAGTAAAAAATCATGTTTAATAGCCAAAAGCTGTATTAAATATGTCCAGCTATTAATTATGCTTATTGTCTAAAACAGGACTTTAAAAATGGATTTAGATAGAAACAAAATGAGTCATTATAAAGCAATTTTGAAGGAAAAGAATTAAAATACTGATGGCAGAATAAATTTAATTTGTAAAATTTTAATCATTTGCAATATGTAATATCAAACACAAAGTCCAGGTAAACTTGCAATAAATATCTGAAATTGCACTTAATATCCCCAAAGTTTATACTACCATTATCATTAATTTGTATTTCACTAATAAGTTGACTTCTTAACTGACACCTATAATATATATAAGTGAATGTCTGAATAAAATGTGAAAAAAGAATCATTTAAATTTGAATGATTTGAATTGACAGCACTAAAAATTACTCAGTAACTAGAAAGCAAATGGCAGTTAGCAATTTTAAAAAGATGAACAAGATAATCTGCTCACTGAAATAACTGTATACTTGAGAACAAAATGGCATAACCACACTGAATTAGAACTGAGGGAGATCATGACCAGACTTTTAGGTCAGCATATAGTGTTAGTAGGTTACAATAGAACCTTTCAGAATAAACTTGATTATTCATTGTTTTCTTCTCCTGGTGTTTCCTTAATAAAAAAAAGGAAGAGAAAGTAAAAATTATTTTGTACACTGTTTCAAAACTCACCCCTATTTGCTCACCTGCTGAAATCTTTCTCTGTTTCTAGCTCTTCTTCTCCATGACCAAGACGTAGTAGGTGGCGCTCATCAATATCTAATGCCATGATTTTCTCAAACAACTGGTTCAGGGCCTGGAGAATAAAGCGAAAAAAAAAAAAATGACAGTGAGTTTCAAAGAATCAGTAAACCCCTTTAAACAACAAAAAGGAAGGAATCAAAACTGAAACATAGAAGAAAGTTGATCTTATATTAGGCCATTTATGATTTTAACAAATTAGTATTTTTACTGATTCATGGGATTACCATCTACCTCTATTTGGTTAAACAGGTAACTGGAAACCATAAAAGCCATCTCCCCACTAAACTCCTGCTTCTAATTTATGAAAAGAGAAAAATCACTGGCTGAGATGCTCTTTTCCCCACGTTTTAACAATTCCTAGGATAAACAACTGGGATTCATTTCACTCAGCTGCATTTTCTTGGGTTGCAGAAAACTAAAAAAGTTTCTGTAGTTGGAAAAGGACAGTGAGAGTGTAGGTAGACGATATTAAGAAAACCAGAGGGTGAAAAGGTAAAGCACATCTTTCAAATCTTAGGCTGCAAATCTTTACTACAATGAGCAGGCACTCACTTATTGCAAACTATTCTGATAAAAGTCATTTAGAAGTTACTCTTTCTTACTTACGAAATGTTCATATTTAGAGCTCCCTCAAATCCTAGTATTCTTTATCTGAACTTTTGCAGTTACAAGGTTTTGCAGAAAGGAAGCTTCATAGTATGGAAAGATACATTAATAAAGATATGAATTAAAAATGAGCCCCCATTAAAACGTTTCTCCTCACATATCACTAGTCTAATCCTGCCATTCAAATCAACATCCTATCTCACAAACATTCAGATTATTTAAATGCAGATAAACTTTGCTATTAAAATTCTAGCAATTAGAGCTCAGAAACTAAAGAGATTTAACATAAATTTTCAGGAAAATCCTAACCAACCTAAATGTACATGGACTGAGCAGTGGATAATGAAAATGTGGTGTATATATATATATATATATATATATATATATATATGTATATATATATATATATATATATCATGAAATAGTATTCAGTAATAACAAAAAAGATTGAAATAATGTCTTCTGTAATAACTTGGAGAGAATCGGAGATCATCAACCTAAGTGAAATAATACAGAAACAAAAAACCAACTACTGCGTGTTCTCACTTATAAGTGGGAGCTAAACTAAGAATCTGCAAAGGCACGTAGAATGGTATAACGGACACTGAAGACTCAGAAGGGGAAGATAGGAAGGAAAAGCATTTATCAGATACGATGTACACAGTTGGGGATGGTAGGTACACTTAAAGTCCAAACTTCTTCACCACTATACAACATTTGTACCCCCCAAAGCTACTGAATTTATTTATCTATTTTTTTGAGTTGGAGTCTCACTCTGTCATCCAAGGTGGAGTACAATGGCATGATCACAGCTACTGCAGCCTCAACTTGCTGGGCTTAGGTGATGCATCTGCCTTAGCCTTCCAAGTAGCTAGGAAAACAGGCCTGTACCACCACATCTGGCTAATTTGTTTAATTTAGTAGAGATGAGATCTTGTCATACTGCCCAGATTAGTCTCCAAGTCCTGGGCTCAGACAATTCTCTAGCCCGCCTTGGCCTCCCAAAATGCTGGGATTACAGGCATGCAACACCATACCCAGCCAAAGCTACTGAAATTAAAAAAAAAAAAAAAGAAAAACAGAAAAATTTCTCACCGTCCGAACTCTTGCTACTCATCATCCAGAACTCAGACTCAGCAGATCAGCTTACATAGCAGTACTAACTACCCAAACTTTTTCTTTTTTTTTTTTTGGAGTTGGAGTCTCACTCTGTCACCCAGACTGGAGTGCAGTGGCCACTTCCGGCCACCACAGCCTCGACCTGCTATGATCCGGCGATCCTTCCACCTCAGCCTTCCAAGTAGCTGGAACTACAGGCGCGTGCTACCACGACTGGCTAAACTACCCAAACTTTTGTTATCCAAATTCAAGAACCACATACATTTGGAGTTAAAAATATTTTCAAATTACAATCTCAGAAAAAACTATAAGATTTCTTTGTGAATTATAGTGCTTTTGGACAACTACTTGAATTATACCTGCAAATGAATATCTGGCAATTTACACAGTAACAACTGAAGGGAAAAAAAACCCAACAATCTGATGGACATCAAGAAGGATAATTTGAATTTCAAAGGATCAAGAAAAGCCATTAGCAATCACTGAATTGGCTATTTTTCAAATTAACCTTTTCTAAGATTATGCTACACAAATCAACAATAAAGTAGAGGACACTGTAGAGAGTCAAATCAAAGTACGACAAAACTTAGTAAAAAATATTATGTTAAAACAACACATGAATTATTCTCTGTTCATTCTAAGAATGTACAAATAGGTATAATATTACAGACTAAATTTTATTAAATAGAAGAAAATAACTTCACAATTTTTTGTTTCCTTTATTAAGACAAAGTACAAATTGAACTACCCAACATCATCTCTCTCCCACAAATTTGGTGCATGTCACCAATACTGATTAATTTAAAAAATACTAAAAAGTTAGGCAGGTAAATGAATGAACAGTATTATTAAAAAAGAACTTGTAAATGAAAAGTTTACAGACACCAAAATAACTGACATTTAGCATTCTAAAACCCAGTACTCCTTTAAAACGCAGTAGCCAACTATTTTAAAGACATGTCAACTGAAGTCAATATCGTTAATATAAACTCTGAGAAAACAAGTACTTTCAGAGGTTTAAATGACCATGCAAGTTTGTTGCTGTTGTTGTTTTGAGTTGAAGTTTCACTCTATTACCTAGACTGGAGTGCAGAGGCATGCTCATGGCCAACACAGCCTTGACTGTCAGGCTCAGGTGATCCTTCCACCTCAGCCTTCCAAGTAGCTGGAACTACAGGCATGCGCCACCATGCCCAGCTAATTTTTTGGTTTATTATAGAGATGAGGTCTTACCAAGTTGCCTAGGCTGGTCTTAAACCCCTGGGCTCAGGCAATCCTTTCACCTCCACCTCCCAGGTGCTGAGATTATAGGTATGAGCCAACAGGTAGTTCACCATGTGTTGCAAGATGTTCTGAGAGCTGCCTGTCATATTTTACACCAGAGCTAATAAACATTACTTGTTCTCTTATTTCTGACAGCTTTGGAATGATTAACAGAACACACGGTCTCCATATAATATAACTGTACTTTTCACAAGGATTGAAATTCAATCCAGTATTAATACACTTTAGGCATTAGTCTTTTAGGAATATTCATTCTACTAAATGAAGAAAAAAGCTACTAGTAAGGGTTAATGCTTTCAATCACAAAGCAAAAGTTCTAGCTTAGCATATAAGATGAAAAATGGGGGGGGGAAATAGCAATTTAATTTAATACAAATATTTGACCACATATTCAATTATTCTTAGCTTTTCCACATTTTGAATCTCTCCAAGAGAAATAAAAGATTGCTTTCATATATCCCTCAACGTAGTCTGGTCATAAGCAGTAGTAACCCAAGAATAACTCAATTCAAAATACTACTCAGATGCTGCTCAAGCACAATGGGGTTACATACCAATAAACCCATGATAAGTTGAAAATGTCGTAAGTAAAAAATATATTTAATATACCTTACCTACCAAACATCATAGCTTAACCTAGCCTACCTTAAACACACCCAGAGCCCCTTCAGTTGGGCAGAATCATCTAACACAAAGCCTATTATATAATAAAATGTTGAATATCTCTAGTAATTTATTGAACACAGTACTGTAAGTAAAAAACAGAATGGCTATATGGGTACTCAAAGTACAATTTCTACTGAATGCATATCGCTTTTGTACCATCGTTAGTCAAAATATTATAGGTCAGACCACTGTAAATTGAGGACCATCTGTACTAATTAGCTTTTGTTGGTATTCTGTGGTATCCATGATCAGATTTTCATACAAAAAGAAATCATCTACACTGTGCTTTCATCTACACTGTGTTTTCATTACACTGCTCCTTCCTTACCTCTCCCCCATCTCAACATGCACGTACATGTGCACACACATATAAACACACAGAGTCAGTTTACCTGATTGGAATGAGTAACAATTAGTGTCCTCTGCTCTGGGAAATTGTGATAGATGTTGGATATAATCTGGACCGCCACATCTGTTTTTCCTGTACCAGGTGGGCCCACAACCTAAGAAGAAAATGATCACATAGCAAGCTACTAAATTATCACATTGCTAGAAACTGAAAAGCATAAAACTGAAAGATAAAATGACAAATTAAAAATTTCACTGAATGGGCTCAATAACAGAATAGACAGGATGGCAAACTTGAAGATAGATCCATACAAATTACTGAAACTCAACCAACAACAAAAAAGATTTTTAAAAAATAGAGATTCAGAAATCTATGGGACAATATCAAAAGGTCTAAAGTTCAAGTCAATAAATTCTAAGGAGTACACTATAGAACAAATATTTGAAATAATGGCTGAAAATTTCCTAAATATGGCAAAAGATATAAATCTACAGATTTAAGAAGCTCAGTGAACCCTGAACAGAATAACCTTAAAGAAATCCAAACCCATATATACTACGATTAAATGGTTGAAAACTATAAGGCAAAGGAAAAAATCTTGACAGTAACCAGAAAAAAAAAAAGTGCAAAATACAGAGCAAAGAGATGTTTCAAGGGACTGGATTTCTTATCAGAAAACACTGAAGTCAGAAGGAAGTGGAATAACATTGTAAAAGTGCTAAAACAAATAACTATCAACCTGCAATTCTATGTCCAGGAACAATATCATTCAAGAATGAAGGTGAATCAGAAAAATTCTCACATGAAGAAAAACAAAAATAACTCATTGCTAGCAGCTCTGTTCTAAAAAGTGGTTTTGAAACAAAGTTCTTCTGAAGGAAACAAATGATAGCAGATGAAACTTAGACATCTGGAATGAAGAATAAATGGCAAATATAGGAGACTGATGCCGGAAGTCGCAACCCCTCAAGAGGCAAAATGGAGGTTACCCGAAAACGGGAGAAACACTGACTGGGAGCAGAGCCCCAGTGGGATGCAGCATGATGGAGGCAGAACCCTGTGGATCCTATTGAGGACTCCTTTGGTCTTAAAGGAATGCTTAGGCTTGAAAAAGACTGCCCTTGATACGTGAAACAATTAGCTAGAATGTGCAAGGATGTGGAATTAGCAGTAGACCTATGTAGAGAAACGTAAAAAGGGCTCAACAGCAAAAATTTCCCCCCTGAAGGGACAAGGGAATGTTTTACTACCCTTTCCCACGAAATTTTGCAACCTTTAGCTAAAAAGGAAAAACAAGTACTTCCTCATACCCTTTATAAGTAACAACATTGACAGTCGTGACTGATGAGGAAGTGAGAAACTGAGACAGAGTATCTCCAAAAACAGGTGTTTTCGGGAAAAACAAGTCACAGACATGCCTTTTGATTTAAGAAACAATTAGAAAGAGGGTTAAAGTTAAAGTAAGGATTAGAATTAAATAAATAACAGTTATAATTAAAAGATAAATGTTTATTATAGATGTAGGTATTAGTTAAAAATAAGTAATAGAAGGAATAGGAAATAATTAAGCTTTAAGGTAAACTTAAAATTATACACACTTAATGTAGGTTTAAAATTAAATACATTTAGGATTAGAAGTAAGATTAATTTCATATATAAGTGTAGATTTAGACTTAAGTTTTGTTTAGAAATATAAAATGTAAAATAGGTGATAAGAAAATAGCAAGTAATATAGATAAGGCAATTAGAATTAAGAAAGTTTAATTTTTAAATTAATAGTAAAATTAATTAATATAGAGTATTAAGAATTTGTAGTGGGTAAGATAAGGGTGGTTATATAAAAGAAAAAACAAGTCAATATATTGCTGCTAAAAGTGTATTAAGAAAATAGATTAGTAAAGGAAAAGAAATAGAATAGCGAGGGGAAGAGATTCCGTTGGCCTAGAAGTCACAGGTTGTGGCTGATAAATTCTTGGCAGTTGGTGTTTTGTTACATAAATAACACCACTGGTAGCAGGAAGGAACAAAACGAAACTTGTAAAAGTCAACTTCCCCATAAACAATAGGAAAAAACATGATGTAAACATTTAATGTGCAACATGTGTTGCATTTTTGTGGGTACAGGGTCAGTAAAAAAACTATATAAGCATGTAAGAATTGAATAAAAATTGGCAGAGTCCTGAACTCTACCCAAGAAGTTGACTCCTGTTGTTCTTCTTCGCCGTTCCTGATTCTCCCCATTCAGGCCCTGACTCTCTCCTGGAGCTGGATTCCGGTAGACTACTCTTTTCCTCCAGAGTTCTTTAAAATATGCAGACAGTAAAAAGTAAAAATTTTAACACTGCCTGATAATATCTTCAATGTATTTGGATGTAATACATATGACAACTACAATATAAAAGAGAAAGGTAAAGGGATCTGTATGGGAGTATCTTCCATTCAACCCAATGTAATAAAATACTAATTCTAAGTAGGCTGTAAAAAGTTAAATAAGTATACTGCAAATTCCTAGATCAGCCACTAAGAAAACACTACAAAAAAAATAACAAAATAAATAATAAATAAAAATAGAACACTAAAAGCTATTCAAATAACCCAAGAGAAAGTGGAAAGGGGAACCAAAGGAAAATAAAGGGAACAAACAGCAAATGAATTTAAAATGGTAGGTCTAAATCAAAACAGATCAATAACATGCATTAAATATAAATGGTCTAAACACATAAACTGAATGACAGAGACTGTCAGAAGGGCTAAAACAACATGCCCCAAGTATATGGTATTTACACGAAATTCACTTCAAATATAATGGTAGTTAAAGTAAAATGATGAAAAAAGAAATATTATACAAGCACTAATGAAAAGAAAGCTGTAGTGGCTATATTAATATCAAAGTAAACTTAAGAGCAAAGAAAACTGCCAATGATGAATAGATACATTACATAATAATAAGAATCATTCACCAAGACACTAAGGCAACATGACAACCTTGAAGGTGTAAGCACCCTCCCACAAAACTTCAAAATACATTAAACAAAAACTGACAGAACTGAAAGAGAAACAGACAGATTCATGATTATAGTTAGAGACTTCAACGGTTCTCTTTCAGTTATCAACAGAAATAATAGAAAATCTGCAAAAACAGAGAACTGAGCAACACCATCAACTAAATTGCTCTACAGCTATTGAAATTTATAGAACACTTCACTCCAAAACAGCAGAATACACATTCTTTTCAAGTGCACATTAAATAGTCACCAAGATAGTTCACATTCTGGGCCATAAATTTAAAAAGTAAAAAACAAAAAATTGAAATCATACAAAATAAGTTGTCTGACCATACTGGATTTAAGACCAGAAATCAGGAAATTAAACATACTTCTAAATCAGCAGACTTTTTCTGTAAAGAGCTAGATAAATAAGTATTTTAGGCTTAGCAGGCCATACAATTTCCATTTCAAGTACTTATCTGTGCTGTCATAACACAAAAGTAGCCATAGGCAATACAAAAACAAATGGGCGATGCATGTGTTAATTACCCTGATTTAAACATAACACAAAATATACAGGCTTCAAAACATTACATTATATTCCATAAATATGTACAATCATTATGTGTCAATTAAAAATAAAACTTGAAAAAAAATTTTTTTAAACAAGAAAAAAACAAATGGGCATGGCCATTTTCTAATAAAACCTTATTTATGAACACTGAAATGAGCAGCAAGATCCTCATATGCACAAGAAACTACAAATACTTATATAAATACTTAAATTCAGACGGACTTCTGTGTTCAAATAAAACACACTCTAAAATCTGTTGCTTACTTCAAATCATAATCCATGTAAGAACATGTGAAATAATAATTCTCTTACCATAGTCAGTCCAGGCTGCATTCCAGCACGAATGGCCTCTATCTGTGTATGAGTGAATTGAATTGTATTACTGTAAATAAAAGAGTAAATAAAAAGTTGGTTAAAAATAAGAATAAATGAAATTTAGTACCAATTTAGACAACAATAATCAGAGGTCTAAACATCTGCTCTGTTTGCCCCTATGCTCTTAACCTCTTCTGAAAGACCATCTTCACCTCTACCCTCTACACAGACAACTAAAACTGAAGGAATGTTGTAGAAAGACTACAGTTCCCTTCACTTAGCCTATTCCAGACCTCATTTGAGGTGCCAGTGCTCTAGTTCCCACTCTAACACCAAATATAATGCCATGTTGTTAATTACAGCAAACATGCATGAAGACTATTGCTATATGCAACATAAGGTCATGAAGTAAGAATGCTGTGTTCAAATTAAGGTAGCTTTCTAGTATTTATTTCTCATAGTACCTGAAAATGTTTCTTTTTGAAATATCATAAAGGTCATGACTACAGAATGGCCTAAAATACCTGAGCTATTTGGCTGACTGACAGAAGGAAAGAAGGTCCAGAAACAGAAGTTTTGTGGGGTTTTCAAAGAACCAGAAAATTTGAAAACATTCCTAACACATTTCAAATGGCACACTATTATTAATTATTATAACTAGAACCAGTAGTAAAATTACCGTTTGGGTTGATTATAAGGATAAGGACCTCTATTAGGAATAACATGAGGTTCAACAATTAAAGTTTTTGCCTCTTCAGTGTCTTCATCTTCCCCATCTGCATCTTTCCTTTTCTTCCCTTTTCCGCTTCTTACTGGAAAAGTTATCCTATAAGAGCAAAACTTACATTCATTTTTACAGTTGACAAGGATTTACTGAGTACCTATCTTGTGCATGGCATTGCATGCAAGATAACCAAGTGAATAAGAAACATCTCTGGCTTAAAGGAATCCGCTACCTGTACATAATCTCTGAAAAAAGCAGATTTACAAGTGCTAAAATGGACGTTAAGGGTGTTCAGATTTAAAAAAGTCAATTAAGGGAGAATTTAAAGAAACATAAAATGCTTATGTCATATGCATTAAGGACTCATTGTCCTTAATCAGAAAGGATTTCATTGAACAGGTGGCATCTAAGACGAATCTAAAAAAATTTAGACATTCAAAGATGGGAAGAGGAGACATCCTTGGAAGAAAGAAGCAACAGTAGAGGCCAAGTACAAGCAGCCTAGTTTTGCTTGGGTGTAGGGTAGAGAAAAACAAGGCAAGCAAGATAGGCTGGAGTCTTGTTATGATGCTTCTAGAATATCAAGCTTTTAAGATAGAGGTTCTTAGCCTGGGTTTAGAATGTGATTTTCCATAGATACCTCAAGGAAGTCAACGAACTCCCCCAAATTTAACTTAAAAGTTAACTCTCTATGTGTACCTTTCCCAGTCTTCTTTCACATTCTAAAAGAACAGATAATAGTTTTTAAAAAATGCTAAGAACTGAAGAAGCTAAGAGGTAAGCAACAGGAGCAATCAGCTTTTTAGCTAAGCTTTAATGGCTCTAGCAGAAAGGTATGTAATGGATTCAAATGAGGTAAGGGGGAAGAAACACATTGCTACTGTAGACTGTTGAGGGCCTAGAGAGGGGGCAGTAGAAATGGCACATGAAAACAACTATCCTTAAGGAAGAATCTATGAGACATGGCAGGAGTTATGGAAGTAAAAAAATTCAAATATATGCTGAGATTTCAAGATGGAGGGATTAGAAAAATGATTTTGCCATTAATAAGATTAGGAAAGTATGGAGGAAGATTCGGTTTGGATATTATAAAGGCCATGTTTACTTAATACACAGAATTATTATACTTATATTTAACAGTCATTTGAAAGCTGTGTTTTCTAGCGAAGAAAGTAAGCTCTGGGGTACCACCCATAGGTATACTGAGTGTTTTATCCTTAATTCATGTGAAGAAATTCAGGGAATAGCAATCAATTGTTCCAGGTACTTCGTTCTATTTCTAATCAAATTTTAAAAACAGAGCCCATTTAGCATTAAATATAAATACGTTGTAAATATTTATTTATTAGAGACAAGGTCTCATTCTATTGTCCAGACCAGAGTACAGTGGCCCAATCATAGCTCACTGCAGACTTGAACTCCTGGGCTCAAGTGATCCTCCCACCTCGGTCTCCCAAGTAAATAATTAAAATTTATTTTTAATTTTTTTTAGATAGGGTTTTACTATGTTGGCCAGGCCTGTCTTAAACTCCTGGACTCAAGTGAGCATTCTGCCTCAGTCTCCTGAGTTGCTGGGATTACAGGCATGAGCTACTGTACCCAGATGTATTATAAATATTTAAAATGTGTGAAAGCAAATAACGTTAAAAGAAAAAGGAATTTTTCCCTAAAGACAAAAAGTTCAACATCATATGGCTGTATGTATTAATCCAGAAATATACCAGACTATGCATAAATGCAAAGACATATTTCTTCAGTCAAATGCTATATATTTATATAGTTCTTTTTAGATAATAAGCATTTACTCATCTCTTATAAGGCATTAGACTACTTTTACTGTAGCCTTAAAACAGCTTCTGCACTAAAAATTAAAAATAGATTCAAATATAATAAACTTATCCCAGTGATTATATGGTGAAGTTAGGAACTGCCAAAACAAAATCCAGATATAATACTCAAAACTCACTTTAGTTACCAGTCCTAGTGGCCTGACTCAGCCTGGACTACAGATTGCTGGAAAGGAGCATATCCAGTCCTGACTTTACCTGAAAGGGGGTATCTGTAGAGCTGGGTCATCCACAGTTACTTTAACATTATGACCAGGAAAGCTGGCTTTTAAATGCTCAATGGAAAGAAATGTATCATTGAAATCAAGGGTGGCAATCTGATTGGGCATTTTTGAATAATGTGCACTACTTGGGTCTCCATAACCTAAAATAATATCATGCAGCCAGTCAGGTACCACACAATCAGTATTCATCAGGTTCCGAATGGTCTCCAGCACAGCCTGTCAGGAAAAGGACAGAAAAGGACTGTGTCAATAAGACATCTCAAACATTTGCACTTCACTGGAATGTAGAGCTGGTTGCACTAATCCAGAATTCCCAAGTGTTTCAGGGCAAGAAGCTATTTTCTGCTGACAGGTGCTTGGCTAGACTGAATCAACAGTTATATTTTCAGCTGATACCATACTCGGAGTTAAACAAAAGATCAAACTTAGCAAGAACAGTTTATCCCTTAAGAATTCATTTACAAAGAATGACATGAATGAGTTTACCACTTGACTTCTATTGAGAAGAATGAAAATCAGACTCAGATCCATACAGCAGCAAGGAAACAAAGAATAAACCCTTAAGGACAATGCTTCCTCTTGAAACTCCTAGAGTTTTTCCTTCTTACAAAGTAATCTATTCTACATATAGAAATTAAGAGGCTAAGCTATTAATTCTGAAGAACAAAACAACCAAACCAGGCATTTTTTTCCTATCATAAATGCTTTATAATCCAACTTTTATAAATAGCAGGATAGTGTATGTTAATCACACCTTTAATCACATTGCCATGTTTATGTTCTTGCATTTAAATGACTATCTGAAATCCTCCTGTTCAGGTACTTGGTTACATTTATGTAATCACCACTAAAATACAATTTTCACAAGAATAAGAATCTAAAATAGTTTCAATATGGAATGAGTGACTGAATGAATAAACAGATCAATGAGTATGTTCACATAACAATGATGAATAAGATGAGAGTTCTATCCTCTAAGGAAATTGTAATTCTAGTAGGGAGATAAGATCTATCCTTAACTATCATACAAACCACAGAATGTGGCAAATAGTAAGGAATGTTACAAATACAATGGGAATACAGTTCAGAGCAGGTGAGGGAGAAGGATGCAGGGGAGACGTTTAACATAAGGAAAAGTTTCATGGAGGATAAGTGGCATTTAATTTAACCTGAGTAAAGGATTTTTAAAGAAGCTTTGATTTATTTAATCATGAATAGAAAGTCACAGAACCGTTTTGAAAAACAGAGTAAAATGGTCAGTCTTATTAAACATTAGGAGGAAATGTATGAAAAACAGATGAGCATGACAAGGGTACAGAAAGAGGAGGCTATTGTAACTGTTCACGAAAAAAATAAAGTATCCAGATTAGGATAGGCTGTACAAATAGGAAATAAGGAAATGAATGAGTGATGCTACCCAGGTACACAGTGAAACACCAAAGATAACAAAAGAGCATTCCTCTTTTCCCAAACACAGGGAAGTTAATCATGCCTTCCCTTTCTTGGAAACTGAACACCTCCTTTGAACTTCCACTTATTTTATTTATTTATTTATTTATTTTTATTTTTTTTGAGTTGGAATCTCACTCTGTCGCCCAGACTGGAGTGCAGTGGCCGCTCCCGGCCACCGCAGCCTCAACCTTCCAAGTAGCTGGAACTACAGGTGTGCGCTACCACACCCGGCTGATTTTTTTTTTTTTTGATTTATTGTAGAGATGAGGTCTCGCTGCCCAGGCAGGTCTCGAACCCGCGGGCTCAGTCAATCCACTCACCTCAGCCTCCCAAAGGCGCGGGATTACAGGCTGAGCCACTGAGCCCGGCTCCACAACACTTTTATTTGCACACTTTTTATGGCTTTGGGTACCTTCTAATTGTTCGTGGTAGTCATGTTTCTAACTTCCCTTATTGGTAATCTAAGTTCCCTAAAAGTATAAGCAGTGTCTAACTCATAATATAACTCATCTTTATAAGCTCCATTTGAGCACAATATCAGACTCACAGTAGGCACTAAATACAATTGCCAAATAAATAAGAAAGGAATTTTTTTTAGTTTTTAGTAAAGTGACTGAGATTTATTTACTGAAACTGAACGAATATGAGACAGTCGTAGGTAGTGTAAAACTTGGAAACTCTTAGATTTCTCCATTCCTCATTCACTCAGTAAATACTAAGAACATACTATATACCAGGCACAGTTCTAGGTACTAAGGATATGCTGACCCTGCCCTCATAGATTTGCATTCTAATGAGGAATTTAGATAAATAATAAATACAGTCATCTGGTATAATAAGGACATATCATGTACAAAGTCTTAGATTACTACAGAACAGCAAAAAGGTCAGTATGGCTGACATGGAGTGAATAAGGAAAAAGCCTTAGGAAATAATGTTGAAGTCATTAGCCAGAGGACACATAATGGCAGGTAAGAACTTTCTAATGTGACGGGAAATCATTAAAGAATATTAAAGATGGGTACCAAGGTATAACTTATTTATGTATTTTTTTGAGTTGGAGTCTCACTCCATCACCCAGGCTGGAATGCTGTGGCATGCTCACAGCCACCCCAGTGTCGACCTGCTGGGCTCCAGCAATCCTTCCACCTCAGTCTTCCAAGTAGCCGTAACTATAGGCGCACGCTACCATGCCCAATTAGTTTTTTTGATTTATTGTAGAGACGAGGTCTCACCACGTTGTCCAGGCTGGTCTCGAACCCACGGACTCAGGCAATCCTCTTGCCACAGCCCCAAAAAGTGCTGGGATTACAAGCATGAGCCACCACACATGGCCTAACTTACATTTTAAAAGGATCATTTAGTTGCTATGTGGAAATAATGTAAATGGAGGCAAGAATGTGAGAGATGAAGGTGCCTTGGACATGGCATTAGTGGAGAGGGTAAGTTAATCACTTATTGATGGACTGGACGTGGAGTGTGAGACAAAAGGAAATCAAGGGTACCTCCATTGCTTTTATGTTCAACAAGAGGGGGAGATGAAGAACAAGCTCCTTTGAAAGGTTTTCTTTCTTAATCACATTAACAGGTAAAGTGACAGTAATATATAAAAAGCACTGCACTTTAGGTGAGAGAGAAAAGAAAGGCACTCTTTCTGTAAAAGTTGGATGTTACCAAACGCCAGATAGAAGTGCCAGTGTTTAAGTTCATAATATAAGTAGTAGTTTTAAAAGCCAGTCCTTTACTAAAACTCTTCTCCCCACAAAGTTATTTTTAAAGAAAACCCTATAGCCCCCAACCCTGGCACAGTGGCACAAGCTGTTAATTCCAGCATTTTGGAAGGCTGAGGTGGGTAGATTGCCTGAGCCCAGGAGTTTGAAACCAGCCTAGGAAACATATTGAAACCTCATTTCTACCAAAAAAAAAAAAAATTGGCTGGGCATGGTGGCATGTGACTGTGGTCCTAACTACTTGGGAGACTGAAGCATAAGAATCACCTGATCCCAAGAGGTAAAGTCTGTGGTGAGCCATGATCATGCCACTGAACTCCAACCTAAGTGGCAGAGTAAGACCCCAGCTCAAAAACAAAAAACCAAAAGCCAGACAAACAAAACTCTATAGCCCCAAACCTTCCTTTAACACTAATTAGTAAAGTATAAATATATCACAAAGTAATCCAGAGCCTTGAGGTCCTCCATCTATATTCTTAAAGTAATTTGGAAGTATACCTTCTTTTGATTATTAAAAAAAACAACAATAAACAAGTAAGCAAGTTTTCCTCACCTCAGACTAAGGCATAAACTGAGTACCTAATATACAAAAAGCAAGGAAGGAGGCTGACCTTTAGAATAACACCTAGATTCGGCTATATTTTAAGTTTTTTAATACTCAAATGACAAAACAGATTTAGTAAATTAATTTCCTTAGATTTTTTAATTTAATCAGTATATTATAAGTTTAAGATTATATTGTTTAGAATAAGAATAAAAGCAATGATTATTTCTTTAACAAATCTTTTTTACCTAATACCTATATATTTATGTCTTCAACGTTATTCAAATTACTTTTAGTTATATAGTTCCAAAATTACCTTAAAGTTATTTTCCTTTGGTTTCCTCCTCATTATTATATTGAAAGTGTCATACACATCTTCTGCTCCATTTTGTATAGTATTGGTCATATCTTGTTGATACTGGTTTGGATCCAAAAACACTCTAAATGTCCTTGACTCTCCTCTAAGGTTGGGTCTGGGTTCAGGTCCTGAACATTTTGAAAAAGTTTGTTAAATGAAATATATATTTTTCAAATATCAACAGTATTTCTCTCCTAGTAATAACAGGTAAACTGTACAGACTTAACTCCAACCATTCTCCTGACTAAAATGCCCTCCACTCATCCATTTCAAATTCTAAGAAACTGAAAGCATTTTCTTCTCTCTCAATTCTTACTGTTTCTTTCACACAGTCATGTAGTGTTTATGATACAATGCCATGAACTACAATTATTCGCCTATGTCCTTAACTAAATTAGGAGCTCTTAGTAGTCAAATAGCTTATCTTTATTTTAATCAGTCACTCATTGTTCCTAATACTGCCTTATATGCAGTAAGTACTCAATAACTATATTCTGATTAAATAAATATATCTACTTTAGAATTTAAGGCATAGTTTTCATATTCACTTAATTTAATAAAAGTTGATCACTCTTCTAATCCTTCCACATTCCATACTTAATATCATCAGCATGAAAGGAAATTTTACATATGCATAAATATGGGATACTAATGGCTGAAAACCCAGAGTATTTTCTTTACCCTTCTCTCTCTTTTGGGGCATTAGGCCTCCAACTTTGGTCCCATTATGTAGCCTTAAGATTATTCCACCCATCTTCCCTTCCCTTCTCCTATTTTCTTTTGTTCCAGAGATGAGTAACCTAAGCATCTGCCATTTAGCAATGGTACAATCTCGAAATCACAGGTGATAGAAGCTGATTCAAGTTTCAAGGGAAGTTTAGCAATCAGATTATAAAATAAGCATGCAGACATGCACACAGTCTGCATGCAGTTATAATTTAATAATGAGTATTATAATGGAAGTCAGGACAACAAAAGAATGAATTTCAAAGGAATAACCAGTGATAAGCACAAGAAATCAAAGAACCGACTAATCCTGTAAAACAGCATATTTAGATGGGTAAAGCTGGCATCTTAGGCAAGGCAATTCCTTCTATAAGACAGTTCTGTTCAAATGCTTAGCACCCTTAGCCCCATCCTCCAAATGTCAGTAGCTTGCCATTTCCCACCCCACCCCAGTTATTTTACAACCTGAATACCACCATGCATTTCCTAAATGTATTATAGTACTGTTCTCAGTTAAGAACCACTGCTATAATCAACCAAAACAGTAAACTTAAGGGAAAAATTAGGCAAATATATCACTGAACACAAAAAAGTTCAGACAATTATAAGGAGTTTTTAGAGGTATTTTTAAAAAACAATATTGTAAAGTACTATAAAAGGAAAGCTTTGAATAAAGGTGATTTCAAAAGATCCTGTCATTTCCAATATCTAACTAAGAAGTTTAGAAACTGTATTATCTATTTCTAAAACTGTGTGGCAGGTAACCCTCACATATTTTATATACAGTCCTTTGTCTTTAGTGTGTAAAATAACTGAAAAAATATTATCAACGAAGCAAAAAAAGAAAGAAATTTATCATTCTATACCCATATTCTTTTGAAAATATAGATCACTGTACCATCTTCGATGACACGTCCTTTATCATCCAGCATGCCCTGGATTTCACAGCCTCTGACATAAACCAGGCCAACTTGCTCAATAAAAGGTCTCCTCCGGTCAAACTTTGTGCCATAAGGTTTTGTGGGACGCACAGTAATTAAAAAGCATACATCATGCTTACGAAGACCTGATAAAACATGAAGATATTTTTACTTACTAAAGTCTCATTATTTTTAGCCTTTTGTTGGCAAATTCTCAACCTCTTATCTTTGGAAGAGAGAGAGAAAAAATATTTAAAATATCAGGGATGACCAATGATTATTACTGCATTGTAATACACGAGTTTTCTTATTATCTTTAATACTCAGTATTTGATAGTAATAATTAAAATGAAAATCTCTTTATAGTAAAATTAGAAACTTTTATGCCATGAATACATTTCTGAATAAGGCTTCCAAGTCATGCTACAGCTCCAAAATTGGATGCTCGTCATCATTCTTATTTTTAACATTCTTAATAAGTAACCAAAAATATGGTTGGCATATAATTCATCTATATCATATTTAGGAGGTTTTTAACACAAGTTTAAACTATCCATCAGTGCCATTCCAATGACAGCCTAATTGTATTTCACTAGAACAGGTCAACTGTAAAATAATCCAAAAAGGCACAAAAGTGTTGTTTACAGATATCATCTTGAGAAAGATGACTAAATATATAGTTTCAGTTGGCAAATACTGAAAATTTTTATAAGTGAATGTCAAGAAACAGAAGACTTGTGCCAAAGTCCATAGTTTCTCAGTCATTAGACCAAATAATAGACTCAAATGGTTTCCCAGCTCTGTAAGTTTAGAAACCGGAAGACAAGGAACATAAAATTAGACCTCACAACATGTAATGACAGCATGTAATGTCACAATCTTCATTTCTTTTCTGATCTGTTTTTGTTAGCCACGTATAACACAAATGCAAATTTAAACAGCCAGCTAGCTTATAACCTTTGGTAACAAGACATACAATGAAATCAAATCAGCAATGTGGGTAAGTGGCTTATAGTATTGCAACCATTTTGGTTTGTTTTCATTTGAAGTGGTGTTAGAGGGTGGGTCAAGGCAGAAATAATAACTGATTCATAATACTGACTTTATTATTTCCCAATAAAGTTTATGAAAAGCAGAAGAAGCAATGAGAACTAAATGGAACTGTGCTACTAGCTTGCATGTGTGACCTGCACAACTCATTAAAACTTATAAGTAAGCCGGGCTCGGTGGCTCAGCCTGTAATACCACGCCTTTGGGAGGCTGAGTTGAGTGGATTGCCTGAGCCCGCGGGTTCGAGACCTGCCTGGGCAGCGAGACCTCATCTCTACAATAAATAAAAAAATCAGCTGGGCGTGGTAGCGCGTGCCTGTAATTCCGGCTACTTGGAAGGCTGAGGCGGAAGGATCGCCAGAGCCCAGCAGGTCGAGGCTGCGGTGGCCGGGAGCGGCCACTGCAATCCAGTCTGGGTGACAGAGTGAGACTCCAACTCAAAAAAACAAAAACAAAAACAAAAACTTATAAGTATTAAAGCCAAAGAAGTGGTCCTGAGAAGTCATTTAGTCCCTACCATTATAGGAGTCACTTTCTGGCATCACTGAGGAATGACCTCTTGTACTCTCCTAAAGCAGGTGTTTTAGCTATGGGACATCTTAGATCTACATTAAGAAAAAAACCAAGCCGGGCTCGGTGGCTCAGCCTGTAATCCCGCGCCTTTGGGAGGCTGAAGTGAGTGGATTGCCTGAGCCCGCGGGTTCGAGACCCACCTGGGCAGGCAAAACCTCATCTCTACAATAAAATCAAAAACTTAGCCGGGCGTGGTAGTGCGCACCTGTAATTCCGGCTACTCGGAAGGCTGAGGCGGAAGGATCGCCGGAGCCCAGCAGGTCGAGGCTGCGGTGGCCGGGAGCGGCCACTGCACTCCAGTCTGGGCAACAGAGTGAGACTCCAACTCAAAAAAAAAAAAAAAAACAACAAAAAACCAAACAAACCTATATTACAATGAACTCAACTATTTCTCTCCTTCCAGTCATTTGTATCCATCCTATCCTAGCTGTACTTTTTAAAGCAGATCTGGCATTTGTTTCATTAATTCAGTTTACTTAATTTTAAATGAGTACTGGAGAAGATAAGGGCTTGAGCATTCTTGAAGAGACAAGAGATGTTTTATGGTATTCAGTTTAAAATCTTAAAAATGATTCTCAATTTTTATAAAATAACGTTCATTACAGTTTACAGAATCTCCCTCTCATTTTTTCCCCATTTTCTATTTGGTTACTCTATCTGTGATAACTATAGAAGCTGAATTTTGACCTTGGACTCCCAGAAAATACTTTTGTCATACCCCATATTATAAATCACTTATCCCACAATACTCGGTTGTTTCCTATCTTGCATAAAAATGTACTCATTTTATTTCTCATTCTAACAGAGGCAGATGTTCAGAAAAACAAAAACAAATTTTCTGACAGCTGTCAGTAATAGGAGAAATGGGCTGTTTAGGTAAAAACTCTGATTTTTTTTAAACACCAAAATGCAGACGTGTAATATATCATCTATAAATTCTTATAAAGGGTCCTTAAAAAAAATTTCCAGCCAATACTACTTCTGGGAGTACCCAATAAGTTATCTCAGTTTATTACACTGCGCAAAACTATGTTTAATACCTCCCTATGCTTTAAGGGGGTTAACAAGTAGAAGGTTGACTCTAGAAACTTAATGTCTTTCTCAAGGTCCAGCAGTAGCAAAGGTGCACATTATTCTAGATGTGTAATGCACCAGATTGGAACTCTTTTTGAGCTGGGGTCACACGATCACCCAGGCTGGTGTACAGTGGCAATATCACGGCTCTCTGCAGCCTCACACTCCTGGGCTTACGCAATCCTTCTGCCTCAGCCTCCCCTGAAGTTTGGGACTACAGGTGTGTGCCTCCATGCCCAGCTAATATTCCATAGAGACGAGGTCTCACCAGGTTCCCCAGGCTGGGGTCAAACTCCCGGGTTCATACAATCCCCCTGCCTCAGACTCCCAAAGTACTAGGATTACAGGTGTGAGTCACTGCACCTGGCCTAGACTAGAATTCTTTTGTAGGATACATTAGTCATAAAAACAATCTGTCATAAAGTCTACTCACTATGACAGGCATTTGTTAAATATTTGGCTAGCTTCATTGCTGGATTCCTTCAGAATTCTTTGATAAATATGTCATATAGTCCCTATGACTATAAACAGCTATGCTGGGTGCAATAATTTCTGAAATCTGATCCATTAAGGGACTATCCATTTCCTTCCAGCATGCCAAGAAGGAGATAAAACCTACTGTTTACTGTTTCTTGAAACAGGGCAGCAAGTAAGACCTCTCACAAACAGCTGGGAGAAATATATATAAGTGTGCCCATTAAAAATCAGTTCATATGCTAATTTTAGCACCAGTGTTACTGACATTTTAACTGTACTGGACTTAGTAACTTAGAAAATACCACCTTTAAAACAAATTAATTTTGACATAGAACTCTCATCCTTAAAATCTTGCCTAGTCAAAAAAAAAAAAGAAATACTCATTGAATTTCTTTGCAATTTTTATATAACCTTGTGTACATTTGATTTCACTGATTCTTTATCTGACTTTCTCTCCTGGGTGCAAATAAACTATTACTATTTCTTGTTGAGCTGTTTTACTATTGCCCCTCTTCAAATTCTTTTTGAGCTTGCCTAGTTTTATGTATTTATTTTCCATAACATATATGCATCTGTATTATTTCACTTTGGCTGCTTATACCTTTTGGAAATACAATTTTCCTTACTTATTCTGCTTATGTGTGTATGTTATATGTGGGTTTTCTTTTTTCCTTGGTGAAAACATACACACATTTATTCTTTTTATAATAGTACCACAAATTCATAAATACTATCTTGCTAAACTTAAGAGTTAAAATGCTCTTCTCATAGTTTTGCAAACTGCAATTTTCAAAACACTTTGATACATGTGCAATTTTATGCTTTTTATTAATATATTAAGATAGCTAGATATTAAGATAGCTAGATATTCTTGTATGATCCCCGGTATTTTTACTACTAATAATTAGAAAAACAATAGTTATTCTTTAAATCAAATTTCAAGGATAAAATTTAACAAAAGTTAGTAAAAATACTTTTTAATGCTACTAATGAAAGTCCATAAAAATGCAAAAGGAACTCCACTTTTTGAAATACAAAATTACCTTCCCATTCATCTTTGATGTGATCTCTGACATTCAGATTGATGGTAACATCTGCACGAACTCGGGTTGGCCAGTTTTCACCTATGTTGGGTTTGGCAACCTCAACTACAGTGAAAGCCACAATGGGCTGGGCCATCCTTGCCCAACCACCAAACACTACACCACCATATTCAGATTGCCTGAAAACCAAAGAAATAAATGATTACTTAAACAAAAAAATAACTCTTACCCAACTTTTAGACAAGTAGAACCTTACGAACACATGTTTAGCATTTAAGTCTGAGCATTAGCAATACTTATTTTTAAATTTAAAAAAACCTGGGTGCCAACGTGCAGAAAATATATGTGGTAGTATAAAACAGGCATGGTCCAGCAAAGAAAAAGAAGTAGAGGAATGTCCTCCACACCCCACCCGGAAAAAACACTATGAATGTAATAGCATCCTACAGCTGAAACATTGAAACAAAGAAAGAAGTAATCCAGCCCACTTAGTTTCATTTCAGTTTTAATGAGGTAAAATTGACAAATAAAGATTGTATAAATTTAAAGAATACAATGTGATGCTTTAGCATATGTATACACTGAAATTATTATCAAAATAAAGCTGGCTAAGATATCCGTCACTACATAGTTATTTTTTGGTGTATGGTAAGAATACTTAAGATCTACTATCCTGGCAAATTCCAAGAATATCATACATTAACTAGTCACTATGCTGTACATTAAGTCTCCAGAAATTACATGTTATAACTGAAAATTTATACCCTCTGACCAGCATCTTCCCATTTCCTCCACTCCTGACCCTACAATTATCCTTCTACTGTTTCTGAGTTTGCCTTTTTTATATTCCAGATGTTAAAGTGAGATCATCAGTATTTGTCTTTCAGTATCTGGCTTATTTCATTTAGCTAGTATATTCCAGGTCCATCCAGGTTCTTGAATAAAGTAGAATTTCTTTCTTTTTACAGGCTGAATAATATTCCACTGTGTATACATACATCACATTTTCACATTTTTTTTTAATCCATCTATCTTAAGTAGATGCTTAGGTTGTTTCCGTAACTTGGTTAATTGTGAATAATGCTGCAATGAACATTAGAGTATAGATATCACTTCAGAACAGTGCTTTTATTTCCTTTGAATAGATACCCTAAAGTGGGATTTCTGGGTATTTTTAATTTTTGAAAAAAATCTCCATACTGTTTTCATAACAACTATAATAATTGATGTTTCCACTAACAGTGTATATGGTTTTATTTTCTTCAAGTACTTGCCAATATTTGTTAACATTTGACTTTTTAATAATAGCCATTCTAACAGCTGTGAGGTGATAGCTCATTACGGTTTTGATTTGAATTTCTCTAATAATTAGCAATGTTGAACACCTTTTCATGTATCTATTGTCACTGTATGTCTTCTTTGAAAAAGATGTTATTTAAATCCTTTGTTCTCTCTCTTTTTTTTTTCTTTATCTTTCCTTCATTTCTGAAGAATCTCTTAATTTTTTCAAGAGTTTGGCTGTTTATCAAACATATTATAAAAGGTTTATTCAAACAGACCAAAGCCCATGTCATCATCAGACTCAGATTCCTCCTTCTTTGCTTCTACTTTTCTTCTTAACTGGGGCAGCAGCAGCGGAAAGAGTGGGACCCCAGGCTGGGGCAGGCCCAGCTGCCAGCACAAGCCCATCAGCCCCCATAGAGCAAATGAGGGTCCCGATGTTGACACTGGCTAGGGCCTTTACAAACAAGCCAAGCCAAAAAGGTCCCACAGTCTCACCAGTTGCTTTAATGAGGGCGCTGATATTATCCTCCATGACAGTCACCCCGCCACTGTGCAGAATAAGGGCGAGTAGAGGCAGGTGAGCTCGGACACCGAGGCCATGGCACGCCAAGTACAGGTTAGAGCTGCAGGGCATGGTGGTAGTCGCTGGGTGAAGTGAGGACCTCACCCTAACATGGCCTTAGTTTCCTCCAAATGACCAAGCACCTTGATGGCAGCTAAGGAAAGGCTCTTAATTTTATTTTATATTCTTATCCTCTACTCTCTTCATCAAGACAGTCTCAATTGCTAATATTTTATCTTCTGTATTTTAAGTATTTCTATAAGCTGCTTCAAATAATTTTACAACAAGCTATAATTTAAAAAATTAAAAATAAGCAAACAAATGATAATATCTATGCAAATGCCTCCTTCAGAACATAATATTTAAATCATTTAAAAGATGCTGCTATGAATTGGAGGAAAAAAATAATCAAGCTACTTGTAATAACTACAACCACCAAATACCCATTCTTTTCTTCTTATGTTAGTCTAAGCAGTGCTTTAGTTTTTACATTAAATACTGTTTTGAGGAAATCTGTAACATAAAAACTAGAGCAGCACTCCAAAATTGGAAAGCACCACAAAATATGACATGCTTACACAGACACACTACATTCTGTGCAATGGCTTTGTGTCACAACAAAAATTGGAGAACTATATAACATGTACTTGAAACATGAATTATTAAGAAGTATAGATTATTTTCCCCTTACAAGCACATCCTCTCTTACTGGTGCCTAGTGGTGTCAGCAGCCTAAAAACAAAATCATTAGAACCATGTAATGAGTAAAAGTGCCTCTGCTACTTTTCTACCTTCAAGATACATGGAACAGAAAGAAGCCTGGTGCCTTTTTACATTTCACCACTTTTAATAATTTTTAATGATGGGTATTAGGAATATATATTCAGAAAAATTTGTTATCATAAATGTGAATGAATTAACTCCAAAAAGTGACATTTTCTTCCCCATCAGAAAATGGTATAACAACAAAAAAAATCTATTATTAATAGACTAGAAGAACTCTAAGTATTTTTGTTGTACTTGGCATTTAAGTAAAATACAAGTGAATTCTATTTGCTGAACTGCTAGTTAATAAATCCCTGCTTTTCAAGCCAGCCAAAATTAGTTCTAGAATCTGACTATATAAACTCAAGGTAACCATAAATTTTAAGAAAGTTCTCTGATCTAGCACTCCCCCAGGGTCCAAACAATGTATGATAATTTCAGCAAAGCTGTGGGCAGGGATGAACAGCCAGTGGGTATACAAATTTTACAGGGCTCGCCTGCCTACTGACTCAACTGATTATTAAGTAAAAAATACTTTGTGCTGTGTTTTATAGTCTTACCCAGAATAACTCTTCACATAATAATTAAATAAGAAATAGAACTGTGTATAAAATGTGGAAATGAGAAAAAAGATCATAATCTTAATATCTGTGGTAGCACTCTGTAATTAGTAAGGAGAAAAGCCTGGAAAACACCTGAATCAGTTCACATTCAAAAATCGTTCAACTTTTCATATAAAATGCAGCAAAATTGTGTATGTACACAGTGTGTTTATAACGTAATAAAAATCCATTTCACAGATCTTTACTCACTTATAATCACTTGTGACATAAACCATATCTACCAATTTCATAATTTGAATGAAATAGTGAATATAGAGCATTTACCCAAAGTCAGGCCAAGTTAATTTTTACAAATCTTGTAATGCAGTGCTCTGCAATAACCTGAAAGAAAGACTTTTCTTAGCTAACAAAATTTCAGAAACAAGCTAGCAGATGGGGAGTAAAGTTTACGGAGAATTCCTCAAATAACTAGACCTACTCTGTGGGCCCTAAAAGTAAATCCTGATGATTTCGTCTCTTCAAGGAACTCTCGGCCAGAAAAAGCTTTTCAGAGTACTATTCCATGAAATGTTCAGCAATCCGCTATCATACCCCAATTCCCTTGGAGAAGCGAACAGAAACTACCCTGGGTCAGTGGAATACCCCTTTACCATAAGCGTCCTCTAGCACTTACACTGTCCTGCCCTGGCACAGGGCTGCCAGCCAAGCCTGACCCTTGCCTCCTTACCCTTTCACTAATATCCCTTTCCCCTAGAGCATGATGACTATTCTTCCTTATCCCCAATCTCCCAGTCCCACTCCTGAGTACAGAGTACAGTTTATATTTTAGAACTTTGGAGATACTTTAATTCACACTAAATAATTTCTCAAAGAGTAAATCTCTCCTATTTCAGAGGGCATCTTTGTGCCAGGTATATTATTTTTAAATATACTTATGAAGTTTCTGACAGAAGAATATCAACTACTACACTCTTCAAACCAATTTACTAACCATGGCTTCATTCTGCTGACACTATCTTCAATGTCCTGCCTAATTTCATAAGTTGACTCTAAGCGGAAAAGATTAAAGTTCCTTAGGAGGTAATCATGAAGAGTCAGAAACTGCAAATTCAATTTCGGAAGAGCAAGACAACCTGAAAAGAAAAATAGCATCTGTATTAGAAAGTATTCTTGCAATCAGACATTTGTTCTATATATTTTAAAAAGTGGTATCTCAAACTTAACAGGAATCTAATGATGACGGATTTCAGCATATTTGATAATGTCTTATTTTTGTTTTCACATACATATTAAAACCAGGTTAACAAGTGCTGTCTACTTAGAATTAGGGGTGAAGCATGAGCTTTATTAATACATGTAATCTGCTTATTAGTACTTAAAAGTATTTAACTACTTAATGCCAATACAAGCTCAAGAAGTTAAAAAATTCTTTCTCTATCACCTAATTTATAGTTGGCGAATCTTGAAGTGAATAATGCTACCATAAACTTAGCCCATGAGAAAATTTACCATGAAAGCTGAATTAGTAGGTTACATTGCATACTCCAATGATCACTATTGTGTCTCCAATGATCACTACTGTGCTCTAAACTTGCTTTTGGTTAGATGTTAAGGACAAGGTATTGCTTGTATGTTATTCTGGACTTCCCCTTCTCTGACTATATTCACATTCATGACTGGCAAATTTTTCACTTTCCTAATGCTGAGAGCGGGTGAAAATAATAATAAAAAAAAAATCTGGCTGCTGCACACTTCAGTTGTTAAGCACAAGTGAAATGGTCTTTTCTAAATTGTCACCTTTTCACAATACAGCTGAAAGTTGCAGACATATCTAGCATTTGTCTCAGACACCACTCTGACTAGCATTCGTACTTTGTATTTTTATTTGGTTTATAAGCCTGAAAAGACAGTCTTCCACAGTGAGGTAAATTCATGCCAGCAGCAACCAGTAACAGACTTGGAATAATGTACATTCACGGCAGTGGTCGCAAATGAGTTACTAAATAATATTCTTTTCATTATCCTCACTTAATAGTATTTATCTTGGACAATAAATAACCAAGCACTTAGTAGCAGTATCAAAAGGTTAAAAAAAAAAAGCAAGCCAGGCTCGGTGGCTCAGCCTGTAATCCTGCACCTTTGGGAGGCTGAGGTGAGTGGATTGCCTGAGCCCGCGGGTTCGAGACCCGCCTGGGCAGTGAGACCTCATCTCTACAATAAATCAAAAAATCAGCTGGGCATGGTAGCACATGCCTGTAATTCCGGCTACTTGGAAGGCTGAGGCGGAAGGATCGCCGGAGCCCAGCAGGTCGAGGCTGCGGTGGCCAGGAGCGGCTACTGCGCTCCAGTCTGGGTAACAGAGTGAGACTCCAACTCAAAAAAAAAAAGCAAATATCTCCCAACATATTTTATTGACAAATCATATTTTCATCATCCTTATTCATAATATCAAAGTAATAATGAACCTAAAGGCAAGAAACATTGATATACAAAAATTTTACATCATTTATATTAGTAACTCTGACTTGTAATCTAACTCAATTTCTTTCAGGCCAGATACTGAGGGAAGGCATCTCTTCTGATAGCACATTTTTATTTTTAAAAAATGACAATTAAAATGTCACCACTTTGCAACCCTCACTGAATTAAACCTAGGTGTTAAGTATTAATGGCTACTAATATCACAGAAATAGACAAGCAGATGGTATGTGCTTCCTGATGAGAGAATACACCACCACCAAGAATCTCCCCAAAGGAGAATCTTAGTTTGATCAAGCCTCTGCTTGTATTCAATTTGCAAGAAAAATACAGAACAAAGAAACATGCACTATGCCATGAGTATTCAATCAGATGAGTATTCAATCAGAAAATTCTAGACTGTGGGAAACTACAAACAACCCAGGTTCTTCAAGAGAAAAAAGGGATGTATATAGGGTACCAGTAAAGGATATTTTAAAAATGAAACCCTAGCTGGGCGTGGTGGCATGCGCCCGTAGTTCTAGCTACTTGGAAGGTTGAAGCAGAAGTAACACCTGAGCCCAGCAGGTTGAGGCTGCAGTGGCAGTGAGCAAGCCACTGCACTCCAGCCTGGGCAACAGAGTGAGACACCAACTCAAAAAAGAAAAAAAGAAAAAGAAACCCTGTAACGGCCATAATTATCTAACTCAGAACCCTCCTATGCACCCTTTTCTAGTTACAGCTTCTTCCTTTCATGTGAAAGTAACAATTTTCTGATCTCCTCATAGTTTTATCATCCAAGTGTGTATCCCTAGACATGAGAAGCAACATATTAACCACAATATAAAGACTGCCTATTCTGAAATCTAGAACAATTTTAGTGAACTGGAATTACAGCTCTAGGATATGACTCTGAAGTAACCATTTTAGGTAACTATACCAATACTTATGCTTGTGATATCTCTAAAATAGTCACATTTCCTCTAATACTGATGTCACTGTTAGAAAATTTCCTGAAATTCCTTTTTAAATATGCCTTGAAAATACAACAGAATGCACTTTTTAATATACTCAGTTGTGGTAAATTCTCATCCTCAGCGGATGAGTGAAAAGCATTTAGAACCAAATCTGGGGAAATATGTAGGTAAAACAAATTAGGCAATACCATTTTGGACAAAACAAAGAGTTTATTATGACATTGTCTTTTTTGGTGGTCATTACCAGGCTTTAAAAATTCAAAACAGCATCTAAAGAAGGCTATGAAAAATAAAGCTCTATCAAAGCTTATCGTAGTAACATAGTGGAAGCTATACGTCTAATATTATTAGGTCTCCATAAAAACAATCTTATTGCTTTACTGTCATATTTCATACAGGGTTATGACTGTATAACTAAAGTATACCAGAGTATAGTTAAATTTAATAAAACTCTTAGTGTTAAGCATTCAATATACTAAAATCTTTTCTAGCTTCTAAAGTTAACTTCAGGGTTCCAGAAAATTACCCTAATGTATAAAGCAGACTGCAGTATACTTTCAATTATATATGATGAATTCCTGAATACTGTAGTTCTTTCCCATACCTTCTCCAGAATAGTACTCAGTTGGGACAATATTTTCATCCCATATAATTTTCTCAGTTGGATATAAAGGCATCTGGTTCAACTGCTGAATCTGAGATATTCGACGTTCATGACGGGATACCTGAAAGAAAAAAATCAGGTTCATGAAGAAAGTTAGCAGCATATTTTTTTTTTTTTTTTTTTTG